CGTCTTTTATGGATCGGTTTAATTCCCTAAAATATCGCATCATCCTTGCAAACAGATAAATTGTTGATTTGTTACAAACTGTCAAAATTAGCTTTGTGAGCATTATAATAAAAACGTGTTTGAAAATGAATTTTTGTAAAGAAGAAATGGTTAATATGGTGTTCGTTTTGGGCGAAGCCCAAAGAAATAGTTTCCTAGCACCTCGCATTTAGAAGCAAGGGTACCCTAATATGCAACATCCAAGTGTTTACTTCACTGTTGTTTAAAAACAATTTCAGCAACAATCTCGCCGGCTTAGTAAGTAACTATTTTTGCTCCCAATTGTTATTTGTTGCTATTGTCAATTATTGTTTCCAGCTCCAGACGATGAAGTCATAGATCTTCGAAAGCTTGAACTTGAGTTATAAGAGTGTACTTTTGCAATTGCCTTCTACCCAAAGAAATTAAAGGATATATATATATATATATATATACATATTAACTTGCCACATGTTTTAACTGGGCACCAAAAATTGGCGCTTTAATCAGCTGAATGCTACCATGACTGCTTTTTAAACAAGCGGATTTAGGCAGAGGTAGTGCCAAGCAGGAGTGGGTTCAATATTCTGGAACCAGCTTCAATCTAGTTCTGGGACTGCCTGACTGTATAGAAAATCGCCAGACATAAGCAGTCAATGGAGTAAAAAATAATTTAATGAGGATCTAAAACATAACTCCCTACATACTAGGACGTATTAGAAGGTGTATCTTATATGAGGGGCGTATATTGTTAACCTTATACAATTTCTCACCTCCATGACGCATTTGCTCCACAGTAGATGAGTTTTGTGCAGGTGATTTTGTACATATCTGCGTTGGAAGAGTACATACAAAATGGACTTGCCAATTACTGGTACCGATATAAAATAGGTTACATTCATAGGGTTAGATGGTGGAATAGCAGGTGCTAAATCTCGCCCCATGGAATGTACCATGTTTTGGTCAATAAAGACGATTATTATATTTTGCTTCAAACATCTAAAATGTATACAGTTATGGAACAGTCCTCGTATTTAGAAAGGAATGCTTTATACAGTCAATAATGCTTACTAAGATAAACATTCTTAAAATGATAACAGTATGAGATTGGCACGTACAGACTGGTTTACCAGTTCGTTAGGCTACATAGGCCAGGTGAAGTAAGTAAAATTCATAAAATACCACTTTATGGATGTCTATACGGTGTCTATCACAACAAGTGAGTAATTGCTCAAATTGATATAAAATATCCTGAGGACAAAGAAACAGGTTTTTGAAAGAACGCTTGTGGATTTGAATGACACTGTCCAATGGTGTTCTGATGACGAGGACTAATTGAGTCAATATGGATACCCCAAAAATAAATCTTGATAGTAACGAATACCGTCCTTCTTTAAATGAGACAATTTCAGTTACAAATATTTTTCTTAACTAGTGCGGTAAAAAAAACTTTTGAGTCTGTTATAGTCTACAGAAACTGATTAGGTTATTTCCTATAGATACCTTCATATGGGGTACTGATTGGTTACGCTAGTATCGCTATCAATAGCTTTCGTTATCACAGATATACATGGTTTATCCTAAAATATAACGATAAGAATATTCCATCTATCTAAATGTATACAGATAATTTGTAAGTTTATTTATTTTAACACGATAATCGGCAAATATCTATCTATAAATGAATATCTTAAACGACAGATATTTTATTCGTTCATCTATTTTTTTTATTTTAGTTATTAATGAAGCAAGTACTCAAAAACTGCGCATCTGCAAATTTTTAAATGCTGCTATTTGTATATAACAAATTGTGAAATACGCCTTGGTGGATATAAAAATGAAAATTTACTTGAGTAATGACCACATCTAACGTAGTTTTGTGATTAAAATACGTAAATAAACATCAGTTCTGCATTGTTTGAAGTAAGCATCTAATCCATCTTTATTTTTGATATCAGCATTATGTCTGCAAGACATGTAATCTCTGACGTCAAACAGTGAATAGAACAGTTAATTTAATCATGTACCATACCGAGAAATACGTTATTTTAGCAATTTTATATAATTAAATGATATTTTTATCACTTTAACCAAAAGTGTTTGCACATACACCAGGAAAGAAGTGCATAAATCTTATCATTTTAAAGATCAAGTTTTGATCAATACTTACTTCTTAAATGCATAGGCGTGAGCGCCAGCAGGATTTTTCACAAGGGGGGGGGCGTACATTGAAAAGTTTTTGTGAAAGTGAACCTATCCCCAAGACTTTGAAACGACACTCAAACTTTCTTAGGGGGATGAGGCAAATGTGTATGTATACACGTAACCTTCGTCATTCGGTCTTCCTTTCTCACGGCGTGCCATCAATAACCGATGAACCACTTAGTTCAGAGGAAAGATAAGGTCTTCCAGTCGCTTCACACTTTTTGAATTCCCGACAGTTCATGACGCCAATCTAAAAATAAAAAAAAACGTTTTAGTATGTGACTTAGGCCCGTATCGTCCGTCGTCCCTGCAATTGTAGGGCGCCTTTATGGCCTCCTTGATTGTCATAGTTTTCTACTTCTCCGTGTCAGCGCTCTATTTTGAGGTTAGGTCACAAACATCTATTTGCATCAAATTGTGCTTGCTTTTGACTTATATCACGTTTTATCAGCCTGAGATTTCCTACAATTTAAAAAGAAAACATATCTTCACAATAAGAGAGCGCTGACGTTGACACGGGACAAGACAGACATTTTTGAAGGAGAGAAAGCAGTATGACAATCAAGGATGCCATAAACGCGTCCTACAATTGTAGGGACGACTGACGATACGGGCCTTAGTCTACCCACAGTAAGGCTTTGGACATACTAAGCTTTTGGTCTCCGCCTCTATAGCAAAATCATTACTTTTGTATCCTTTGTTGGTATGACCTGCATGAGACCAATTGCACTCAAAAAGGCCTTCCTGGGGGATCATTTCTTGATTAGGTATCTGAAGAGACAACTGTAGGCAGTCACCAAAAAGTTCATAGCAGGACTCAACAAATTCAGAAGGAGTCATTAAATGATTTGTTTGTCCGCTAGTTCTCATAGTCTGTAGTTTGGATCAAAGTGCACTTGTTGTAAGTCAATTTTGTATTGACATTTAAATTTCTAATTATTGAATTAAACGATTTCAAGATAATGGTACTTCTTACATAATTTGCAAAGAACGGCATAAGCCTAATGAAGGTAGGTGTTTCCACCGGTAAGTATTATTATTATGTTGACACAACGCTGTCATTTCGGTAGGCCTTAGTATTCAAATAAGTCGAAAGTATGCCTAAAACTACGCACTTTTGGCGACAAGATACAATGTAAAAATATAGGAATCCTTCTAATATTCTTGAATTTGTTATTAGGACTAGACGAGCATTTTACGTGTATATCGCACAACATTCTGATTCGGATTCCTACAGACCTCGGAGGATGCAGGCATCTATCTTTCATGGGAATATGAACATATCCTACCTGCGTCAAATTCTAGGATAGCACATCAATCCATCTCCTACATAAATGTACCGTATACGCAGCTGAATACATTATTAACGCATTTGAGCTGAGATATTCACAACCGAACTTACTAATTTTACTGTTATAAAGCAGGGCGGTGGCGTTGTGGTAAACGCTACGTATCTACTAACCAGTCGTCCTCAGTTGCGCGGGTTCGAATCCCGTCCCCAGAGAATATTTCTCTTGGCTATGGATGTCGTGATTGTCCGTAGGTAGTAGACGATGTCGGACTATCGAACGTGTTACACAAGTGTTCCCTCGCTAGAATCGGTAAGACGTGTCCCCATTTCCCCTGTACTTCCCTATAGCCCCACGGGTGTTTAGACCTTAGCTCTTCGTGGTGGGTCAACGAATTAAAAAAGAAGTGACTCACCTCCTGGTTTCATGTCTCTGATGCACAACACGCAGCATTGCTCCCCACGTTGTTGAAGGTCTTCTCCATGAAGTGTATCATTTTCATTGCCTTTGGAGTAGAAAGGGCTGTAATCCCTCTAGAGAGTATGAACACATGACCCATGTTTTCTGCTCATCGTCTGCAGTGATGAACAGTAAAACTGTAACAAAATCACTGACGTCACTGTTAAAAACTTACCAGACAGACCGTAATGTTGCGTTTCTATTCCCTAAACTTTTAGTAAGTACCAAAGGTGTTTTTCAGAACCAGTTTGTAGTAACACTCAGATATCCAAGCAGATAGTAATTAGTTGCATGCCTTAACGCAGTGGTAATGCCACAGATCAATCGACACTTGAAAACTAAAGTTAGGTACTATAAAATTTCTTTATGAGAAGCGGTGTGATCTATGATTGGTACAGGGTGGCCAATATATAACTGACTGATTTCAATTGCGTGCCATTTGTGATACTCGCATTTCAGTAGGTGCCGTCGTAGTAGTTGTTTACAGCACGTGTGTCCAATTCCAAATACTGTAGAGCAGCTGAAAAACAATATTACGGAAGCAATTGAAGATATTCCTCCCGAAACCTACCAAAAAGTGAAGGAAAATGTAATCAGGAGGGCTCAGGTTTACACGGCTTCTAGAGGCGGAAATTTGTCTGATATTATTTTCATACATAATTTCTAAGTTTCAATAAAACATAATTAAGGTGAAAAAAATGGTCGTATTTTAGTTCATTTCACAAATATTCAAGATATAAACCAGTCAGTTACCGATCAGCCACCCTTGCTGGCCCGTACATGCAGCCTAAATCTCTTATATTTGCTGTATGTTTTTAAAGTATGTGGCCCTATTTGGTCCTCAAACTCCTTCAAGACGTACGAGTACTTCTTAGATAGTAAAAAGTCGATCACTTGTTTAGGCTAGTAACTATTAGCTTCTGCACTGACACCCTACACCGACTAAGGGTTATACAAAATAACTGTACTATAAGAGATCCGATACGCGGCGACAAAAATGACCCATGGACTTCGTATTTCAGATAACGTAGACAAGCCGAGGTTCCGGTATCTTAAGTGTTTAGTCTTTAGAGCAGAAGCACCCCAAATAAGTCCATTATTAATATCTATAGACCGCACGTGCTTTTTTTTCGAAGAATTTTACATTTTGTGTAGTTGTTAAGTGACAGGACTGGAAAAAATCAATGCTCCGTATCGGGATATTAGTTTAAAGTTGTGAGTGACTGTGATGCTTCCTGTGTAAATTATATTGCGAACGTTTTCGAATGCGTATTTACTTCAAAAGTGAAAAGAAGGACTAGATTCAACAAAAATGACGAATAATTCCAGTGTATTTTTACAAACCTTGATGTATATGATGAACCAGAGCATCATACAGCAAGAAAGTTCTTATAATTACTATTATATGCAAATAGGAAAAGGTAGGTGATTACGAAGTAATTGTTTATCTGTCTCTCAAGGTACCCAGTGTTTAGTTTTAAAGGAGCACCGACACTAGATAGAACATTAAAATTGGTTTGACATTTCATCCAAGTTTTGAGCTACTTTGTACAACGAAAACCATGTCAGCAATCTGTCTGTCCATCCATTCCCTCGTAAGCGCAAATATCTGCCACTGATGAAATTTTTTATAGTACTTAATTGCTTGACTTGTAGCAATTTTTCATTATAAGCATAATTAGCAAAAACAAAAAGAATATTAGAACGTCTTAAATGAAATTCATGTATTACAGGCTGTTACCTGCGATATCATCCTACACTCAAATTTATTAAAGTAACTAAAACTTTAAAATTAACACATTGGCTCAAACCAAATTTTACGTTGTAAAAAACTCTTGGCGCCCATGTCACTAGTACATTCTTAGTTTAACTCTACTCTATCTTTAAAGTATTGCTAGTGTTAGGAATCTAGCTGGATTCTCAAACTCGCAAGTACCCTTTAACCCTCATAATACGGCCCTGTGCAAAATCCATTCTTAACTGTCATCTACTGTCTATAAACTACATCCCTGTCAAATTACCTCCTGTATAAAAACAAATGACTTTCATACAAACTTGTAAATGCCTCTACCCGCTTCAATCCGGCCCTGTCACAAAATTCGTTCTTGGCTGACATGTTTCGTCCTTTCTGCCAAATTTTATGTCGATTAACACTTTTTAAACAGAGAAAACCAATTTTTTCTGACGAGAAAAATGTCATAGATAAAAGGAGTATGCGATAAGAGGGAAAAAATACACACAATACACACAAATAATAACCTTTTTCTCAGCCCTGTTCATTTATAAAAAAAAACAGCCTGATGAAACTATACAGGGAAAACGAAATTTGTCTGGCGACTTGAGTTTAATGTATACGGGAGAGACGCGCGAGCAGTGTGTATCAACACATGTTAGAAAGAGATAGATGCCGGCTGAATAACAAAGGTCATCACTAAATTGCCTAGCAACGGTGACACTGGAGGTCATGCAATCTGCCACGTTGACAATATATTACACCAGCACAGGCTTCTACAATAGGTTAGGTAACTGTCAAACCCAAGAAGGAGGTCTGTTGGAACATTTTGACTAGATTCACTTATTTATTTCAATGTTGATGCACCTTTGTGTTTTAATTTATTTTAGAATTATGACTGGTTTCCACCGATTGTGATAAAATCAACACATTCTGAGTTACTGTTACGTTTTGCGTCAGCGGGCGATCGGAAAATGTAACAAATACCATTACGCAATACAAATTATCACCGCGCGTGTACGCAGGTAAAAACCATTTCGAAACAGGACGACAGCCCTCACTGAGCGCTAGATGGGTACTGACCAAAACCGCTCATCCATAATCATGGAGGTGGAAATCTTGCCTTAAAATGTACGAAATGCGGTGTTGCCAAGCGAACCGATGATGCAATGTTGCAGAATTTGTGACGATCCTAAACCTTTCATTTCGACCTGAAATGGAACGCGTATATTCAACATGCATCTTAATTCAAGAAACTAGTGTAACATATTGGCAACGCGCTGATGAGCTTCGCTATGTAGCCGGTTTCTATCGCTTTCTAACATCTGTGTCTATACACACTTCTCTCTCGTACTCATTGAACTCAAGCCGTCAGACGTATTTGGTTTTCACTGTATATGTATCCGCAACCCTCCTTAACCCTAGGTTAGTCGCGTCTCTTATCCGCACATTATTAGTCGCGTGGGTGACAAGTGTCAACCATCCTAAAAAACAACCTATACAAGATTTTTCCAAAAATATTTATTAAATAAGAAACAAGATATTCTCTATAAGCCTTGACATAAAATATAGGTTGATTTTAACAACAAAATATATTTAAAACATAAGATAACTGTGAATTACTACTTCAGTCGTTGTTTTCATAACATCGCACACAAATTTCTTTTAGGTGGTCATTGCAAGCAAAATTTTGACACTGCGCGCAAAGTTTTCTAGTTGTTTTATCTCGTGCTCTTCCGCAGTAGTAACAGCGCCCTCTTGCTCCTCTTCGATCTCTTTGTTCAACTACAGAAGTTGAGGGTTCCAAACCCAGCAATACCATTGACCTGCGGCGAAGTTCCCGTGGAATTTGTGAAATCTAAGCTCTTCGTTTTATTTGTGGTGTCAACATATCCCATGCTAAGCTTTGCAAGAATTCAGTTCGGCGTAATTTTCCCTCGATTTGTTTGTTGAGTTTATAAATTATCATAGCATTTACAGCGGAAAAATTTAATAAATTATAAAATACAACCATAGGCCAACGTCTCGTATTTCTTGCTACATTACTTTTTTTGGCATATTTGGTCTACTAAATCTACTCCAATCTTGGTACTGTTGTAAAATGTTATAATATCCGGCTTTTGATATTCTCCTGTGTCTTCACTGATTGCACTATCGTGATGCATGGTAGAAACTGCTAGAACTGCTTTATTCTTTTGTAGACAGTAAGAAACAATTGTACAGTTTTCCTGGAATCCAAAAATTGAAGTAAATTTATCCCGGTCTTTTTGGGGAAGAAACTCCTTAGGAATTTCTCTTTTATTTTTTCTGAGAGTACCTACGTATGTTAATTTCTTTTCAGTCAGCAGTTCGTTGACTAATGGAATACTAGTGAACCAGTTATCTCCTGTGATGTTTCTATTTGTACCCTGAACTGGTTCCACCATCCTCATCACAATATCTTTGGCATTGTTACTTTGCTGATATGGACCTGGAGGTTGCAATCCAACATACGTTTCCAGTTTCATAGTATAAGCTGTTTTAGCATCAACCAAAGCAAACGTTTTAATGCCATATTTACTTGGCTTATTGGAGATGTACTGGCGGAAAGCTGCACGACCTCTAAACGCAAGCAATTGCTCGTCTATAGTTAGATATTCACTCGGTGAGAAATATTTCTCAAAATTATTGGTAAATAGTTCAAACACTTCCCTAATTGCTGCCATTTTATCAAGTTCTTTACGCATGTTACGGTCATTGATGTTGTCAAATCTCAAACATCTCAAAAGGAAACGGAACCTTTGTTCACTCATAGTAAGATAACATGATTCAATGCCATTTCCCTTGGAGTTATCCCATAGTAAATAAATATTTTTACGAGAACATCTCATGGTGCCTATAAGGAACAACAATCCAATAAATGCCCTTATTTCTATCTCATCAGTACTCCTTGCATCTCTGCCCCTTGTAAATTCTTGACGTGTTTTCTCTATATAAATATTAGTGCACGCTGTAATTGTTTTGAGAATATTGTCGTCTAAAAAGAGTTCTAAATCTGCTACTTCTGTTTTCACTTCTCGTGCTTTACCTTTGGGTCCTGGTAAATGAATAATAATGTTATGGGACCTTGTTTTCACATTTCTTGGAGGATTCGCTTTTCTCCATTTCGTTATTTTGTCCTTCCCAATGTAGAAACTAGAAGAATCTAAAGGCACGTCTTCGTCACTTTCAACTTCTTCACTTTCCGCAACCTCTTGTTCCGATTCTGTATTATGCTCACTCTCTGTCAGTATATTTTCTTCCTCTTTGTCACTTTCATCTTCATCCTTAGAGCTTTCACTCAGATCACTTTCATCACTTAGTTCATGGTACCACTTCAGCCATACATTGGGATCATTACTGGTCTCTACTTTTCTTTTTTTCTGTTCAGACATGGCCTTGCTACTACTTCCAAATATATAAAGCAAAAATACCTTAGCATAGGGAGAAAAAATATTAAAAATTGAATTACCTTTGCCACAGTACAACAACACCTTAATAATAATTTAACAACGTAGAAGGTCGCGCGGGGGACACTTGTCAACCATTCAGCTTTGGTCAGCGATATCTCCACTAAACACCCACAAGCCGTACTAAATATTTGACGGCACAGACATCTATCATAACATGAAAGATACTCGGAGCGATGTTGCCAAGTGAGCTGAAACATTTAAATAGTGGCATATTAAATGAAAGTGGGTGACGATTGTCACCCGCGCGACTGACCTAGGGTTAATCCAGCCTTGTCGCGAATTCCGTTCTGAGCTGACATGTTCTGTCCATTAAATACATATCCGCTAAATTTCGTGTAGCTTTCGAGATACATTTTTCCACGCTCTCTCATTTATAATATCATTAGTTAGTTTGATAGGGATAGTGATTGGAGGTTTTCAAGATTTTTGTTCAATACAGGGAGTGAAACTGGAAAAAGTAGGATGTCTGATTTTTCTTCCGCTTTGAACATAAAAAGACAAATGGCAAATATGTTCAAAATCAAAAGCATTTGAATAATCATTTTAGGGTTTGGACATAGATGCTACCTTCTTTCTGGCTTCTAGAAGTTATTAGAAGTTGCAATAATTACTGGCTAGGAAGCATTGTCCATTGACCAATTACGTGTGATGATTTCGCAAAATTCGTTATTTTATCTTTAATTACATACATGCGGAAAAGTCATGCTTTACAGCAATGTTTTTCCCGCCGTCTTGTAAACAATTTTCCTTTACGTCATCTTACAAAACATTCATCAGGATGTTCGTATCACACAGTTCCTAAATTTATCTTTGGTCAATAACGTAATTGATTTACATAATGATGCAAAAACACAGTTAACTTCCCTCAAATTCATATATGAACGTATTCTCAAATATAATAGTTCTGCACCACCCCTTATCTATGACTCTCCACGGCATACTATGCTAGTGTTGAGATTGTAAGGATCTTGTAAACCAAAAACCAATTATATTTTACAAATATATTATATTTCGATGAATTTTAACGAAAACCATACTTCTCAGATCCTGGTAACGCATCCAAATGCTATGGAACCTATGGGTGTTTCGAGCTGAATTACCCTTGGACTTCAGAAAGCAGACCAGTCTCATTATATCCTGAAGATTTATTAAAGGTAATGAGAGTAATAAAAGGAAATTGGATGATCGTTAAGTATACTTACAGAAAAAGGAAAGCTGTGATTTGAAATTGCATTTGAATCGGTCAGTCCAAAAACCACTTAAGCCCATACCGACATGCTTTTTTTTTAACTGAAAACGCTTCATTAAAGGTAGCTGCGTATTCTAGGCATACATCCTGTAAGACACTACAATCCTTCCCCTTCAAATGACACTTCGTTTAGTGCAAAAACATCGTAAGCCCGGGACTTACATGGTTTTTGCACGCACTACAAACGGTGGGTATTTGCATGGGTCATCTCAAAAACAATACCTGTATATCCCTGCTTTAGTTTCATGTTTATATGCTATATACACCAAAATATCAAATTTAACTTAACTAACTACAAAATTACAGGCCTACGACTGACTTTGCCCGGAATCACTTACATAAGAGTTTTCTTGTTTCCTTCCTAAGCCATCGACTCAATTCTTCTCATTTGAATGGATGAGAAGGCGCTCCAGATATACGCGAAGTATTTTGAATAGCATTTCATATAGATACGAGGTCTGTAAATTAGGTGATGAAACTGGCAACGTAGCGATCGATCTGGCAACATTGGAGGCGCCGGGCTTTGAGGGGAGACAGGGGAACATGCGATCCGCCTTCAGTACAAGTTTGAACTCGCTCGGGTCATTTGATTATCGGTAACGACTTTTTTTCCTATTGTGTTCTACAAACGACGGACATCAATTTCGGTGTGCTATCAGGTTTTTCTTCATAATTGGGCACAATTCAACTAAACCTTCTGCTAAACTTCAGAAGGTCTACGGAGATAGTCTTTTGTCAAGAGCCCAGTTTTTTCGGTGGTTTAATGCATTTTCTGCGAAGCCTTCATCTTCAAGAACCGATGAAAATATCGACAGAATTCAGAATCTTGGGTGTTCAGATCATCGGTTGACAGTTCGAATGATCGTGGAAGAATTAAATTTGATTCTGAACACCGAACTGGTCGTATGCTCCTTGTCACACAGTAATGTGATTATACGAGTTTTTGGCCAGTAAAAACATCCATGTGGCTGCAAGTCTCCTTCTCCTCCTGACTTGAATTCTTGTAACTTTAAAAAAATATTTATAATCTAACATTTGTTTAATTTCTCGTAATAAGGTACCTATAGTACTTCGTCATATCTTTGACTTACCCTGTACAACGAGTGTAGGTGTCTTCAAATTTTTAAATTCGCTTGTTTATGACATTCATCTATTTCCTCTGTACCCTTCAAATTGTAATTATATTTGAATAAAAAAAAATAAAATAGCAAATGTGTAATTACACGCACAAATATATACATATGTATTTCAATGTGTAATTTTTTTGTTAAAAATATTTAATTTATTCATTTCGTTGCCTGGTAGCCTGGAAGGAAGTTCGATTTATGGTTTAAATGTAAACCAAAAAATTTGACTTACCCAGGTATTCGCTTTGCCCGGGTTTTCCCTATGTAACTTAAATATATTAAAACTAGCAAAATTGAAACACATGGTATATTAATAAATCAATATTTAAGTGGTAATAAATACAATTAATTGTGATCCGTTTGCTTAAGTTTAAGCGGTTTTTTGGGCTTTTGCCAAAATTACTAATAATAAACTAACTGTAAAGGTTATTCGAAATTTCAATCTTGTAGAACTCAAATAGTACATTAAGCTTGAAAAAGATCCTTAAAACTGGTTTATTTGTCAGTGATAGTTTCTACTGTCTCTTGAAAAACTCAAACCATGGGACATACGAGGTTTGATTTTTATTTTATTGCAGATTGAACCGACGTTTCCAACATACACGAGGAATAATCCAAATCAAGCAAAGTACTTTGATCTAAATGATTTCAACTATGTCGAACAGATCGACTTCGATGCTACTAAGCCGATTTTTGTCGTGACCCATGGATATCTTGAAGGAGGGGGTATCAAATGGGTAAGACTGTTTCAGTACTAGAAAGTCAAGGAATCCCAGTAGGGGTGAAAATAGGAAAATTTGCATTTTCACTGCTATACTGCTGGTACTAGTCTGTATACTTCGAATATTGGCATTGTGCAACAGGCTACTTGATTCTTACCTAATTTCATAGAATAAATGAGTTCTCAAATTGAGACTTAAACGAGACGATAGTCTGCGTAGTAAAATGTAAAATATGTTCCGAACAGAAGAAATGCGTTTATTTCGCTGGGCACTCTAATCCACAGCGTTCCTGCGGTCTTTATCGATGTGTTTTTACATTCTCGGACAATACAACGATAATTGTTATACAGGGTGGTGCATCGAAAACGAAACATACGCATTTACTGGCAGCTCAGTTTTTTTTTGAAAAACGCTCAGACCGGTCGATTTTGTTTTCGAGCGGGACACAAGTTTGGAAAAAATCATGTTAACACGTGCAGCCCCCTGGGCGGGGGTGACACCAACCCTAAAATCTTAAATGCAAAGGGGGTGGAGTGATACCTTATTTTAAAGGTCTCTCAATTCCCTTTATAATGATATAAAATTAATGTACTTCAGTTCAGTATTTTTGAAGATTTATTGATTTAAAGCTTAAAGTTGACTTTAACCCTTTACTCGCGAGCACGGTATCCTGTACCGCTATTCAAAATTCAACCTTCCATAACTGCGGTCAGAATGAACTCATGACCTTGAGCCCCCACCTAGCTTCAGTATATGGTGTGATGTCGAATTGGGAAAAGCGGCGCTGTAATTAGTATTCTCAAAATCGATTTTCGGAAGTGATACTTTGAAGCCTGGCGGTCCGTCATACCGATTGTCGCGTATAGCGTAGAACTTTCGGATACACGTCCAGTCAAGGAAATATTAGTGTGATTGAGTCGTGGTAAGTTTTTTATCTTATTTTTATTTGTTTACGTGAAAAATGGCTTCGTATCTAAAACAGTTCAGAAGGTAAAAATAAATAGTAGTGCTTAGTACAAAATATTTTATGTGAATCAATATATATTTGTGCGTAAAAAAATAAATTTTCACAGAGTTGAGTATGAGAGCTGTATGCTAATATTTCGTATTCTGGAATATGTTATTATGGTATTTATTTTTTTCAAAATTTGCGTTATTGAAATAACATATTATATTCGAATCCAGTGATTTTGTGAATCAATTCCCAAAGTTTGTTTTTATTTCAGATCATGGCATCTGGCTTAGAGTGAGTAAAGTTTGGTGACAAAGACTATGAGCAAAAGCTCAGAAAATGGTTCGATGAATTGGAATCTGATGACGAACAAAAAGTCCCTTCTGATTTAGAAGTTTCCAATGACGAAACATTGCAGGAAGATGAAATTATAGTTCTTCCACTTTTGAGCAAGAAGATTCGAATTCGAGCCGCGATAATGTGCAAAGTGATCATGTTACAGGTGTAGTCAGTTATAAAGGTAAAAACGGTTATATTTGGAAGTCCGAAGAACCCAATAAAGCTCTAAGAACGCCCAAACATAACATTATAATCAAATTGCCCAGTCTTAAACCAACAGCAAGTCGTTTGGGGAACAGTCCTGATGTTGGTGAAATTTGGAACCTTTTATTCGACAACGAGACGCTAAATGAAATCGTATTGCGAACAAATGAAAAATTGGAAATAGTAAGATCTACCCACAAGAACTCTAATACCACAGATTACAAGAATTCTAACTTTATTGAAATAAGAGCTATAATCGGTCTTCTTATGCTAACATCTACGTATATATTCCGGTCGAACCATGAAAATATGCTATCATTATTTTCAAATACGTGTACAGGTCGTCCCATATTCAGAGCAGTAATTTCTTCCAAAAGATTTGAAAAGTAGCCCTTAGCAATATTTTATAGACTGATAGATATATCTACCAATAATGCATTCGTTTTATTTCTTCATTACAAAGACATTACACCAAAATCCAGACGTCTGTTTATTGAAGAACTAGCGATGCAACTCGTAAAGCCTCATATGGTAAAGAGGTTTGAAAATCCAAAATTGAACAAAGAACTTCAAGCTCTTATCAAAGGCGCTCTTGGAGTCGACGATCTTAGGAACGAACCATCAACGTCAAGAGACGAGCGGCTAGAAGTGAAGAAAACTTGGTTTTTGTGTCCATATCAGAAGAAGAGAAAGACGTTTTACAAATGCTACTCTTGTCAGCAACCGATTTGCCTCGAGCATGCCAGCAAAATGTGTAAGAACTGTGTCGCCGACCAAGAAGATCACTGAAAACTAGCAATCTTTTGTCTAGAATGTCATTATTATTCAGCTAATTTTTTTTGTTTTGCTTTATTCTGTAAAAAAATTAATAAAACCTTCAAATATTTACACTATGCTTTTAATTTTATATGTAAAAATCTAAAGCGGTATCACATACCGATACTCGCGATTAACGTTAAATTAATCAATCTCGCGGGTTAAGGGTTAATAGATACATTAGATTAGTTTGTACTACTTTCAGAAGAAATTTGACTAAAAGAATTTACTTAATAAGTAAATGCTTTTCTGCACTACGCCCATGGTTTGTTTATCATTTTGTTGTTGAAAATAGCTATTGGAGTCTTTTTTGTGGCAAAAAAGTTATTTCTTGAAGAAAGATAAGGAAATATCTCGTACTTATTTTAAATAGGAATTTAGTACATAGCTTGCGATTGATTTGACCAAACTTTGTTGCTTAAATAACTTGTAATGCTTTGTTACATAAATTAACCATGGTATATTCCACAGCAGAAAGAGTTGAAATTATCGAAATATTTTTCGCTAATAGAACAGCAGAAATATTTAATGAGCGACACGAAAACAGTAACGTGCATCGAAAATGTGTTCAAGAACTTGTAGCTAAATTTCGGGAAACTGGGTCAGTCGCCAATAAAAAACGCAACATTGAAAATCCCATAACGAACAAAGCAATAGAAGTGGGGGTTTTAGGGCAAGTTTATGTAGATCCTACGCTAAGTACCCGCAAAATGGAGACTGTGTGTGGTGTTAGTCGACGTACTGTCCAACGGGTTCTAAAGGCACATAGTTTTCATCCGTATAAAATTCACCTGGTACAAGAACTTAATGAAGACGATTTTGATCGGCGATTACAATTTTGTGAAGATATGAGTAACCGAATTATAAACGATGAACATTTTCTATTCAACACTTGCTTTTCCGACGAATGTTCCTTTTTCTTAAATGGCGTAGTAAATCGTCATAACTGCCGATATTGGTCCGATTCTAATCCCAGAATTTATCATGAGGTTCATACACAGCAGCCACAAAATTAAATGTTTAGGCTGGTATTTTTGGCGAATAGGTTGATGTTCCAACTGGATGGTGCCCCACCACATTACGCATTACGTGTCCGACAATATTTAGATGAGACGTTTCCAGATCGATGGATTGTAGAAGAGGTGCCATTGAATGGTCCCCAAGATCCCCAGATTTATCACCTTTGCATTTCTTTATGTGGGGTCATTTAAAAAGCAAAATCTATGCTACTCAGCCAACATCATTAGAAGACCTGCGACAAAGAATTGTGAATGGGTGCCTTCAAATTACTCCTCAAATATTGCAAAATGTGCGGCAACGTTTTGACCAAAATCTTTATTATTGCATGGACAGTCATGGTGGCCATTTTCAACATTTGCTTGCCTAACGGGTCAGTTCATTCTTTATTTTTAAATTACTTTGCTGCCAAATATATTGATCTCCACTAATGATGATGCATTAGTTTTATTTAAGCTTTAAATCAATAAATCTTCAAAACTACTGAACTGAAGTGCATTAATTTTATATCATTATAAAGGGAATTGAAAGACCTTTAAAATAAGGTATCACTCGAACCCCCTTTCCATTTAAGATTTTGGGGGGCTGCACGTGCTAACGTGATTTTTTGCCAAACTTGTGTCCCCCTCGAAAACAAAATCGACGGGTCTGAGCGTTTTTCAAAAAAAACTGAGCTGCCAGTAAATGCGCCTGTTTCGTTTTCAATGCGCCACCCTGTACGTTTCATGTAAACTAGTGAAAGTCATGTTTATATTGGTATATTTAAAAGTTTGAGAGGTTATGCTGCTGTCAGCTGTAGTTTGCAAATAGTATGGCTTCAGAGCACATGAATATGGGCCAAACATGGCGGACAGCGAAAGATATACTTTTTAATTAAAGTTTTACGGTATTTTAGGCCTGTAAAAATATAGTTTGATTTTTTTTTTGATCTAATAGAACAAATATTACCTAATTAAGGCCTACTTAAAAAAGTGTCAACTTGAGTAATGAGTTTCCCGCTTTGCAACGAAATTCATTGTAACATATTTTTTAGACTTCTAATGATAACCTTTTTTATGAACCTAAACATTTTCTAGCTAGGTTATATCAGACCAAGACAGTTCAACTTTCTTAACAATCAGTCCAAACGGAGGATTCAGAGATTTTCATTAAGCCGTTGACGATTTCTATTGCAGTTTCTATTAGAACTTGTGCGATATAAAAATCCAAATATTTAATTATTGCTATATGAAATAGTAAAACAAATGTTTGAGAAAGAAACAAACTTGAACGAAGGTATCTTAAATTCAAATCTAAAGTAGGTAAGGGGATACAATCAATGTGATTTCTTTCATTGTTTGTGTAGTAATACTTTTTTATGTTAGACGTCAAATCCGATGCTGACAGTAACAAATCACAAAGAAAATACTTAAGAACTGTAACGCTGAGTCAGCTGCCAGGAAGCCTTCTCTTGGTACCAATATCTAGATATCTACAAAATCTTACGGAGAATTTAGTGATTTCGAAGAAACTTTTTTGGCAAAAGGATTTTTCAACGCATAATAATTTTGCAGTTTAACCGAACGTAAGAACTACAACTCTATCAGTTATTGGCAGAAAATCTTCTTTTGGTGCCAATTTCCGGAGAACTACAAAACCTTCTGGAGAATTTTGTAATTTTTCATTTTCGGTAAACTTATTTTTAGCCCATGATTTTTTTGTTGTACTGAACTTAAGGACTGTAACGCTGAGCCAGTTTTGCCAGAAAGTCCTCTTTTGGTATCAATTTTCTAAAATCCACAAAACCTTCATGATAATTTTGTGGTTTCGAAGACACTTTTTCGACAAATTTTTTTTATCGTATAATAGTTTTGCAATTAAGCAAGTCCCAACTGTACATTGGCAGGATAATTAATTATCTCAGTCAAACTGATTATGAAGGGATCAAAAAAAAATGATTTTGCTTTTTCTGTGCTGAAATATGCTCTCAAACGACTGTACTAAGCATTTTATTTTAGACTCGTACTTGAAATAATTGACAGTCGCAATGTTAAGTTTCTCTTTCAAATGACTTGATGTGGGAAAAATGTCAATATTTTCTGTCGCTAACTTGACTGAAAAAAAAAATAATTTTACTTTGAATTTGCTTATCAAATGAACCCAGTCGGAAGTGAAATGCATGACCATTAATTACTTCAGTCAAACTGAAAGCAGGATTTTAAAAAAAATGTTTATTTTGTTTTTTTTTCTACTGCCAAGTTCCTCAAATATGCTCTCAAACAACTGAAATAAACTTTTTATTTTAGATTCGTACTTGAAACTTGAAACAATATACTGACAGCAGCTATGTTGAGCTCCTTTTTCAAACGATTTGGTATGGGAAAAAAGTTCAATATTTTCTGAGGCTAAGTTAATTAAAAAATTCAATTTTGCTTTGGATTCGCTTAACAAATGAACCTAGTCGGAAGTGAAAAATGTTTTTCACTTGGCGGAAATTTTGTAACTTACTTGCGCGCAGTGTTGTCATATCTACCAACTTTTAGGTAGATCTACCTATTTTGCCTTTGTTCTACCTCCCTGTCTACCATGCTCAACCTTAGTTCTAACTATTTTATAGAAACACAATACACTTATCTTTTTTGCAACCAGCATCAGACTAGAATCATTTGTGTAACACGTAACAAATCTGAATGAATTTTGGCAGTTTACTCTTGACTTTACTCTAACAATTGACAATGATCTAACGATTATAACGGTAAATACCCCTTTCAGTTGGTCCAGCACTGGTATTATGTAAAAAACCTATAAAACGTCAAAAAAATCTATATGTCATCTTGCAGACTAGGTAGTTTTTAGGGTGCAGACAGTCATTCAATGCTTGCTCACTAAGATCGTTGTGAGCGTCCATCTATGGAGAAGTAGCTCAACTACACGCATTATTGGTTGCATATAACCTATAAAATGTCATCTTATAGACTAGGTAGTTTTTAGGATACAGTCATTCCACGTTTGCACACTAGGATCGTTGTGAGCGTCCACCTATGGAGGAATAGCTCAACTACATGGATTGTTAGTTGCATATGTTTTGTGAAGCCGAGTAGCCTACAGTTTTCATCTCTGAGAAGAAAGTTGGTTGAATGGCAAGATCGCATCTGGATGATTGTGTGTATTGGTCTGGATGCTTATAAAATCAGTGTAATTTGCTGTGTGAGAAAATCATTACTGAATATGCTGCCAATCAAGAATATGTATTAGCTGTGCCCGACGGGTTATTTATATGTTGTCCTTTCTGAAGACAGGTCATGTTCAAAGTTATAAAACACGATTACTTTACGTTTTTTTTTGTGCTTTCAAAAACTTTGAGGAGAATTACGGGAAATCACAACTGTTAGCATGTATATGATTTGTAGTTTGACAGTGTACAATGAATATAAGCATTTCTTATCTCTTTCATCACTTTTCAAGATACGAAAAACCCGCGTCGTGCGATTGGGCACTGGTTTTGTCAAATATGACCACTTTGTCACTAAATGTCAACGTCAATTCTATAGATTATCGAGTATAAAATATCCTTTCGAAAACGTGGAAAGACTGTAAATAATATATATTCAGGGTGTCCGCAAAGATGGGGTTTTCCTTTACACGACGTGTAGATCTTGAAAACATAAGCAATTTTTCTTAGTACCATATACACCAATGTCTTAAGGGAACCGAGGTAAAGGGCTCTGCAACATCAAAAATATCTGAATACCGTCCTGTAGCCGCGACTCGCGACATCCCCGAGTGGTACTAGGACACTAGCTCAACCCGACGACAGAACTGGGTCGGGGTCAGTGTGTCAGATCAGTATGGAACCTTCAACCGACGGTTACGGTCACGCGTGTAGAGGTAAACGAACCCGTATAATCGATTGCGTTTCAAAAAACAACAAGCACTAGACACGTGGCTAGAGAAGTGCAAGTATCAAAAACTAAAGTGTGGCAAACGCTGCGTGAAGAGGGGCTGTATCCGTTTCACGTCCAACGTGTACAAGCCCTTCAACCTGATGATTTTCCAGCAAGAGTGCGGTTTTGTGAGTGGTTGTTGCATCAACATGACAATAATCCGGACTCTTTGAAGTGCATATTGGTGACAGACGAATCTACGTTCATGCGTAATGGGGTGAATAACTTTCGCAACACTCATGTTTGGTCAGTAGAAAATCCGCACGCTGTCCGTCGGGCACATTTTCAACAAACATTTTCGGTGAATGTTTAGGCTGGCATGGTCAACGGTATGCTCATTGGACCATTTATTCTCCCAAATCGATTGGACGGGATGCAATACCTAGACTTTTTACGCAACATTTTGCCTTCCTTGTTAGAAGATGTGCCATTAAGTGTAAGACAATCAATGTGGTTTCTGCACGATGGTCATATTTGTTACCTCTGTTCGTGGTCTGCACCACCGCCGGCGTCTGCTCGGTAGCGCATCAGCTGATTTCATTTTCCGTTGGAGCGGTATGATTTCGGGCAGAGACGTACTTAGCTCTTCTCGTCAACTGGAGAGTGAGTACTTTTTCCTTTATTTTTTTTTACTTGGTCCCGCTCGTTTCACTACACATTACCTTTGTTATTTCAAGGGTAGTTGTTTCTGAAAAGGAAAACCCCAACTTTGCGGACACCCTGTATAAGTAAACGATATAAAAACCTGTCAAAAAATGTACTTTGCACAAGTACTCTAAACAAACACAAGCTTTTATACATTTTTAACCCCAAAAATCCACTGAATCTGGGCTGGTAGATCTACTGATTTTCATGTTACACTTCAACCAATATATGGCACTTATTCTAGCTACTCTCTAAAATCACTTTTAGCAACACTGCTTGCGCGGGCCATTTAAAATTCTTCAAGCGTGGGGTTGAACAGCCTTGAAGAATTTACACTTAAAGTAACACCCAACGACAAAATATGTTAGATTTGACCTTGACCTCACTTTTCCTTACAGATATCAAAATTCGTGGAGGCGCTCTTAGACCTCATGGACTGTACTGTAATCGTGATAGACTGGCACGGAGGCAGTAGCCCACCGTATACTCAAGCTGTAGCCAATATCAGGCTAGTGGGGGCAGTTACAGCTCATTTGCTGCACGATATATCCGCGTATTCCGGTCCCCAAGGACTCAGCCACGTTCATCTTATTGGACACTCACTTGGGGCACATTTAAGTGGGTATGTTGGATACACTGTACAAAAGGTGAGAAAGATTATCTTCTAATTCGTTCAAAATGGACTAGCTCGGTATTTCACATCTTTTAAATATAGAGCCATTTTTAAATTACACACACTAATTATAAAAATTCAATTCAAGAACGTTCAGCATATTTAAAAAAGAGGCTTAGGCATACCCAACCCTGGTTGGTCACTATTTTTGGTATTATTTTAGTGAGTCTATGTCATTTTTGGTCAAAATCATTAAACGATGTGTAAGTTGTTAGAAAATATATTAAAATAGGAGAATTGATCTACTCGTTCCTTTATTTTCAGATGTTTAACTTAACTTTAGGGAGAATAACAGCCTTAGATCCAGCAGAACCTCATTTTTCCAAGACCGAACCACCAGTTCGCTTGGATAGAACCGCTGCACAGTAAGTATTTTTAAATGATTTTGATTAAATTTCGGTTCACATTCTAGTTCTACAGTTCACACTTGTGCTGTCTGGATAAGATCTCAAAAATGTTGAATGTGCGTGGTATTAAGTTACTTGTCAATTGTCAAAATAGGTGAATGTGCGTATGTGTGATTACACTGATAAACAGAGGATTTGTGACATGACAATTTTTGGGTGTATCTTATGTATTTTGAGACCCTTAAATCAAATCTAAAAACAGAATTTTTATATCACCCACAGATACTCAGTAACATCTTTTTTTATGAATTACAATATGTAACATCTCATATTGCGTTTATTTGTAGACTAACAGCAGCCGAGTCAGAAACGTTTTCTGTGTTGAAGAGTACTGAGATGTTCTGAGTACTGTTAATTTTTGTTAAACGGTCTGTTGTTTTTAGTTTATTGTGATCGAGACTAGCTTTATGGACAATGCCTAGAAATTGTGTAAATAGTGCGAACAGTTTTTGTTATGTGTGCGGAGAGCTAACTTTTAAATTCCAAAAACGTACTTTTACTCCGCTTGTGTTGAAAGCATACGAACTTTATTTTGGAATTAAAGATAGCGACCAAGATGGGGTTCCTCATATATAATAATAATAATAATAATAAAATGTCTTTATTAGGCACATTAAATAAACTACAACATAATGTGACCTCTACGTAGGCGAAGTCTAGCTCTTGGCTACTCTACTTAACCTACCCAAATAATAAATGAAATACTCAATCAAAGGAAACTTTGACAAGCAGCAAAAGACGCTTCAAAACAATGAGCTTGATAGCTTCCTGACATACATAATATATACACACATATATTACGTAAAAATAAAATAAAATATAAGAATTAAAAACTAACTTTTCCACAATTACTACAATGACAAATAAATCTGTTTCACATGCTTACGAAATCTGTTTACTGGCCAATCCTTTATATTGTCATCTAATTCGTTATAAATCAGGATAGCATTGTAAGTGTATGAACTACGAAATAAAGTTGTTTTATACATAGGGATCTCTAGTCTTTTTTTGTGTCTGAAATCAATGTCTGAATTATTTCGTCTGAAAACAAATTTCTCATAAAGATACAAGGGGGATCGAGAAGATATGATCTTATGTGCTATATGATACTTGCAAGCATTTTCTATACACATCCAACCAAGCTGAAATCTCTTTAAGGAAACATGATCATACTTCTTGAGATTAAATACAAATCGACAAGAAGTATTTTGGAGTTTTTGGAGTCTTGCTTTTGTGATAGAATCAAGACAATGATAGAACACAGTGCTACAGTAAAGTAAGCTTGGAAATATAAAAGCCTCACATAACTTTTTTCTAACTTTAAAATTCAAAATAGAGCGATTGACATAAAAACACTTCAAAGTTGCATAACATTTTTTTTAAGACAGACGAAGCATGCTCCTTAAACCGTAAAGTATAATCAATAATCAACCCTAAATTTTTTGTAGTATTTACGACAGCTAGACGCTCCTTGTCGACTTTTACATCAAGAGAATTCAATATAGTGTTACGTTTGACAGCAGGACAAAAAAGCATCACTGAACACTTATCCTTATTGAGCTTAAGATTGTTACCATTTGAGTATCCTACTATTGCCTCCAAATCATCATTAAGCTCATTGATTGAAGTATGTAAAGTGTTACTATTAAAACTCTTATATATCTGTGTATCATCGGCATAGCACATCACAGAAGAGTTTTTCACAGAGCTACCCAAGTCTATAGTATAAATTAAGTACAACAAGGGCCCTAAAACTGAACCCTGAGGGACACCTGATGTTATATCAATCGGACTAGATACAGTGTTGTCTATCTCTACTACTTGTTTACGATTTGAAAGATATGTTAGAAAAAACATTAGAGGTATGTCTGAAAAACCAAAAAACTTCAATTTAGCACATAAAAGCTCATGATCTATTTTATCGAACGCCTTCGAATAATGTAATGATACAAGTGCTGAAGCATCTCCCTTATCAAGCGAAGCAATGATGTCATCTAAAACCCTTGCTAAAGCTGTAGTTGTATTAAAACCACTGCGGAAACCAGATTGACACTTGGGAAAGAAATCATTATTAGAGAAATAATGATAAACCTGATGTTTAATCAATTTCTCCAATATCTTCGATATGTTGTAAGATTTTGTAACGTTATTAACAGGTTGGTTAAGAGGTGACAATCGTAAAATACCCTTTGCGGTACCAATGGTTTGGAGAGAACAGAGAGACCATACTCATTCCTCATACGATAGAAACATATGAAAATACGCGAGTTCTGTTAGAGCATATCCGTTAAGGATCCCCCAAACCAACGCGATTAATCCGCTACGATATTCATGGTGATATAATTCTCGCCAAATTCGCTGCGAACATCTGAGGGACTTTCATATCGAAGCGAAAAGATCGCAGTGGATTGGCAGTAAACGGTGTGCCCTCATGTTTTGATTGGAGATGAAGGATTTGCCCTTAAACCCTACCTAATGAGACCGTTTCCATATAGACAGTCGAAAGCAGACGCTAGAAAAGAAAAATACAATACTGGGCGAGGAGAGTAGTGGAAAATGCTTTTGGGAGAATTTTTTATAGGCCCATGAAAACGAAAACAGATACTACAATTTTAATAGTAAAAACTACACGCGTTCTGCATAATTTTTAACGCAGTAAGCAATGTGACGAACAGTATATACACCTTCTAGACGAAGATCCAGATCCATCACAAGCCTTTACCAACATCGAAAATGATCCAAGTCGTGCAATGAATCTGGCATTTTCTACACGAGAAAAATTTGTTGACTACTTCAACTCCTAATATTGTTAGTCAAGATCAGCTTAGCTAAGCGATTCATAAATAACAAACGTATTATAATAATTTCTCAGTAAAGAGTAACTTACCGGTGTCATTCAATTCCACTCCTATCTCATACCAGATTTTGTCTTTTTTTCGAACATTTTTGTAGTCCTCGTTGTTCAAGTCACAGAGAATTGGAAATTGTTTTATTATTTCCAGAAGTTTTTCAGTGTTTGCCATTGCGACAGCGATAAAAATCGTGCAAGCAGCGAATTAAAATTTAGTCGCTGCCCTGTCGCACCGCTGTGAGCGAAATTGACAGGTCTGTTCTTGTTTGGGGGATCCTTTATACTGAATATGGATGGGCCATTTGTGCAGACTCTTCTTCTTCTTGGAATGCAACTGAGATATACCAAATTTTGTTATTTTCTTGGTGAATGGGACAGTCGTGCGCGAGATCGTCATTATGAACAGAAGGAGTGGCCACTACGTCAGGTATTAAGTCCGGGCCTCAAAAACATTGCTCATGAACCTCTAGTTGATCCCAAAAACGTGTTGCTTCCATCTTTGCATATTAAGTTGGGACTGAATTTTATGAAAGCTATGGATCGAAATGGAAGAGAGTTTCTGCATTTAAAACAAACATTTCCGAGACTTAGTGAGGAAAAAATTAGAGAGTGCATATTTGTGGGTCCACAAATACGGAAAATCATGAAGGATGATGTATTTGACAGTGTTCTAAATGAAACTGAATTACGAGCTTGGAATGCTTTTAAAGCAATTTTTTAGGTAATCTGAAGGCGGACAATTGTGAGTGAACTAATTAATACTTATAAAGGAATCTGATGTAACATGTCTCTAAAAATTCACTTTTTGGATTCTCCTATAGATTTTTTTTTTTCGGAAAATTTAGGTGCGGTAAGTGATGAACATGGTGAACGGTTCCACCAAAACATTTCTGCTATGGAAAAAAACGGTATCAAGGCAAATGGAATGGAATTTGCTTGCCGATTATTGCTGGGCATTGTTAAGAGATACTTCAGGAGCAACATATCGCCGTAAAACATCGACAACAACATTCTGAGATTAATGTTTATTCGAGTGTTTATTACTACTCTTACACACATATCCTCATTTTTTACGAGTATAAGCAGCAAATAAAATGCCTTATTGCAAGAAAACCGTGGGTGATAGAAAAAAATCGAAAGCTATTTCCGGCTTTTTGGGTACGTTTTACATAATAACCACCTTGTTTTGTCCATGTCACAAAAATTTATTTTAATTTTGTTCACCAGAGTTGCCAGAGGAGACAGGGGGGGAGCTGGATCTTGAAATTTACAAATTTAGAGTGATTTTGATAGTATTTTAAGGTTTGTCTTTCCCTAAGAAAATTTGCTACCAACCAATGTTCAAAAAGATTTTGGGGCAGGTACATAGTCACAAAAGTTATCTCCCACCGATCGTTCCCGCCCTAAGAAAAATTTCTGCGGGTGCCCAGAATAAATGTCTATTCATTTGTATCAATTTGTTCCTTAAACGAATCATACAATATAAGCATTAGAAGCATTGTAAATGGTTACAGATATATACTAAGTGACATATAAATCCGAACACCCAGTTCAAATGGTTTTATTTTAATAAAATTTTGTATAAGTACTTAATGAAGCATAATAAGTAAATGATAAAAATTTCAAAATGATTGCACTGCTTTAAAGCCCTTTGACCTTTAATAATGTGTGGATGCACCCTGATGTACTACGCATTCTCCAACGCGCCTAGGCATGCTTCTGATCAGGTGGTCAATGTCCGCCTGTGGTATCTCATTCCAGGCAACCACCAACTCCTCTCGAAGTGCTTCTAGAGTCTGAGGAGGATGTTGCAAATTAAGCAATCTCCTACCCATCATATCCCACACGTGCTCAATTGGGGATAAGTCGGGAGATATTGGTGGCCATGGTAACAATGTAACATCATTATGTTGAAAGAAGTCTATTGTGACTCTTGCAACATGTGGTCGGGCATTATCTTGTTGGAAAGTTGGATCTGCCAGGGTGTCAAGATAGGGTAAAAGATGGGGTTCTAGAACTTCGTGGATATAACGCTGCGCGTTCATGTTACCTCTGAGGAACATTAAACGTGACCTGGAACCATAAGCTATAGCACCCCAAACCATAACTCCAACAGTGTGATGAACATGTCTTTCAACAAAAAACTGTGGATTCCTCCTTTCACCACGTCGCCTTCTAACCCTGGCACGACCATCGTGCATACCTAAACAAAATCGAGACTCGTCACTAAAGACAATACTGTTCCATTCCTGATCCCAGAGTGACCGTTGTCTGCACCACTCAAAGCGATTACGTCGGTGTTCTCGAGTTAAAGGGAGGACCCAGTGTGGCCGGTATGAAAACAAGAAAAAACTTGTCATTCGTCGGTAAACACTTCGCATGCCAATAGGTCTTCCGTGTTCTGCAAACCATTCATTTGCAATGGACCTGGTAGTGGAGAAACGGTCCCTTAAGGCCAATAATCTTAGGCGGCGCTCCTTGCTCCTTGCTCTTTGCGTACGGCCTTCTCGAAGCCATGCCTGACAACACCTAACCACAGTGTCTACACTTCTTTGCACTCTAACTGCAATTGGCCGAAAAGAAAGTCCAGCTTCCCGAAGTCCCACTATACGGCCCCTATCAAACTCACTAAGTTGACGAAATCGTACAGGTGTCCGTACTCTAGGCATCGTAACCGATCGTAAAGGATGTCAAGAACCAAAATCCGCCAACGTTGATTCTTTACTGCGGCTGAAATATTCATTTTTAGAGCGTTAGTGAATTAAAAAAAAGCAGTATAAAAAACGGAATGTCCAACTGATAAGGCTGAAAATTTTTTCACTTGTTATTTACAGTAAGATAAATACATTCACCAACTTTTACTAAAATAAAACCATTTAAACTGGGTGTTCGAATTTATATGTCACTTAGTATAAATGCCGAAATAAATATACTAAATTACGTTTTCGCAACTCTACCCTCTCATATAAAACTACGAATACCTTTTTTCTTGAGAGATAGAAGCCTTTTTGCCACAAAGATATAAGAATACTTTGATTTAATTTTATTTAAACGATGAAACTCAAAATATCTTGACAAAACAATTTACAGGCCAACATTTTGTACGATCTCAAACTTAAAATGTGGAAAATGCATGAATTCGCATTTTTAAAACCGATTTTCATATGATTTCAAAAATCCATGTATTTCGAAAGACACCGATGTAGCTTTTCATCATTTTTTCCAGATATGTAGACGTCATACACACGGACGCAAGTCAGTTCATCAGAGGAGGCTTAGGGATGACAGAAAGTATAGGTCACGTGGACTATTATCCAAATGGTGGTACAAATCAACCTGGTTGCACAAAGAGTGTCCTTCAGTACGTCAAAGAAGCTAATGGCAGCTTTTTTAATGGTATCTGATAAATTATAGCAATGATTACAGTTATCTAAGCAATACAGGGTGTCCGCAAAGTTGGGGTTGTCCTTTTCAGAAATTGAAATAACAAAGGTAATGTGTAGTGAAACGTGGGCGACCAAGTAAAAAAAAATAAAGGAAAAAGTACTCACTCTCCAGTTGACGAGAAGGGCTAAGTACGTCTCTGCCCGAAATCATACCGCTCCAACAGAAAATCAAATCAGCTGATGCACTACCGAACAGACGCAGGCGGTGGTGCAGACCACGAACAGAGGTAAAAAATATGACGGCGTTGCCGCGTTTTCAGTTTTTAGGTAAACGTACTTTATAGGTATTGTTCGAAGTTATCGCCGTTTGATTCAAAAACACAGGTGCGTGCACTACGTAGCCAAGCATCGGTGCAGGCTTTGAGAATGGAGTCCCTCCCCCGAATGAAAGCACCAGCTTGTTCAATTCTGAGATGAAGTTCGTAAACCGTATGCACTTCAGTTTTGTACACTAAGCGTTTCATTTCTCCCCAAAGGAAAAAATCACATGGTGTTAAGTCTGGAGATCGTGGAGGCCACGCTACGGGTCCATTACGTCCGATCCACATATTCGGAAATAATTCATTCAAAAACTCACGCACTTCGCGTCTAAAATGGGGCGGTGCACCATCGTGCAGAAACCACATTGATTGTCTTACACTTAATGGCACATCTTCTAACAAGGAAGGCAAAATGTTGCATAAAAAGTCTAGGTATTGCATCCCGTCCAATCGATTTGGGAGAATAAATGGTCTAATGAGCATACAGTTCACCATGCCAGCCCAAACATTCACCGAAAATGTTTATTGAAAATGTACCCAACGGACAGCGTGCGGATTTTCTACTGACCAAGCATGAGTGTTGCGAAAGTTATTCACCCCATTACGCGTGAACGTAGATTCGTCTGTCACCAATATGCACTTCAAACTTATTATCATGTGGATGCAACAACCACTCACAAAACCGCACTCTTGCTGGAAAATCGTCAGGTTGAAGGACTTGTACACGTTGGACGTGAAACGGATACAGCCCCTCTTCAAGCAGCGTTTGCCACACTTTAGTTTTTGATACTTGCACTTCTCTAGCCACGTCTCTAGTGCTTGATGAGGGATTCTCGTCTACGCGATTCAGTAATTCTTCATCAACTTGCACCATTCATGGTTGTCTAGGCCTCCCACTGTGCCCACCTCGGAATTCCTCCAAATGGCCCGTATCCCTGACTCTCTGGACCAGGTACACAAATCTGCGGGGCCTTGGATGATGTCGTCTAGGGAAACGATCTGCATACACTCGCGAAGCCTCTGTAGCATTTTGAAGACATTCGCCATAAATTAACAACATATCAACGAGTTCATTATTGGTGTATGAGTTTGCCATTATTATTTTTTTTTTGAAACGCAATCGATTATACGGGTTCGTTTACCTCTACACGCGTGACCGTAACCGTCGGTTGAAGGTTGCATACTGACCTGACACACTGACCCCGACCCAGTTCTGTCGTCGGGTTGAGCCAGTGACCTTGTACCACTCGGTGATGTCGCGGGTCGGGGCTACAGGACGGTATTCAGATATTTTTGATGTTGCAGAGCCCTTTATCTCGGTTCCCTTAAGACATTGGTGTATATGGTACTAAGAAAAATTGCTTATGTTTTCAAGACCTACACGTCGTGTAAAGGAAAACCCCAACTTTGCGGACACCCTGTATATTAAAGAACTAGAAGCAAGAAATTTTTCTCCTAAAAAATTAAAGTTGGCAAAGTGTCGTTAAAAAATTGTCCACTACGAAAGGGTTTTCCATTGAGGACTCGACAACTTTCTTTTTAAATAAAACGCAAACCGTTTGAGATATCTCGAAAATTTTATTATTGGATTGAAGCAGGGGCGGCGGGCCCTTAAGTTCTGCAGAGCTGCAGAACTGCCAAAACTTTTTTCTTAACAGAAAAAACCAGTAGTAATTTGATCATTATTTATTTTCCATGCTATCACACAAATAGAAACAATACCGGCCTGCCCCCGCAAGACTCGACGTCGAGTCTGTTTTGTACTGAGAAAGCATTATAATCAACCAATTGTGTACTTGTCATTTTCGTCGCGACCGCAGCGTAACATTATTCATGGGCCACTTGAAAAGGGTCTGTGCACTACTTCGACACAAGCCGCACGTGCTTGCTTTTGTCTCTCTCTGCAATATCAAATGCGCGATCTAAGCCTAACCATGTGCTGCAACTTATACAGATCCGTACAGATCTAATGCAAAGTACGATATCTGATTGGTCGGTCGGTGCTCGGTCCCCGGCATTGGCATATTGGTCTTGCCGCGTGACGTGGCTAAAAATTTGAATTTTTTATTTAGGTATTTTGGGTCTTACGTTGAGTGACTAGTGACTCACTGACTGACTGTGGCTGTGTAGAAGGGTACTGCAAGACAATGGATGTGGTTTGCAGACTTATCAGTGTGAAACGATTCTGAAAACACATATTTGAAGAAAAAATTGAGCTTAAGGTGTCAGGTCGACCGCTGCCGGACATATTTATAGAAACACAGGGCATTAGTCGGGGCAAGGGCTATACGCGGCATTTCAGCAGGGAGATTTACACCAGAAATGACTGTATTTGTGGGTGTAACAGGAAGAATGCCCTTTTCTGCTTTCCTTGCATACTTTTCGGCGGTGACAAAGCTTGGACGGAGGTAGGTGTTACAGATTTAGTGCACCTGAGTGAAAAAGTTAAGAAGCATGAAAACTCTAAAACACATCTTCATAATTTGATGATATTGGCTTTATTGGGGACTGTTAACATCAGAGCTCAGTTAGATATAGCATATTGGAGAAATATACAACAGCATAATGATACCGTTACAAAAAACAGGTACGTTCTATCAAAAATAATCGATGGTATAAAATTTTGCGGAGCATTTGAATTGGCGCTACGGGGCCACCACGAAACCGAGAGCTCCCAAAACCCGGGAATATTTCGTGGACTGATTAATTTTTCTGCTGAGCTTGATACAACCTTAAGCGAACACATAAAAAATGCTTCAATATTCAAAGGAACTTCGAAAGAAATAAAAAACGATCTACTGGATTGTATTCTTGAAGTTTGTCATGAAGAAATAATAAAACAGATGAATAGAGCCTCGTATTTGGCGATAATAGCAGATGAAACAACGGACATTTCGGGGAAAACCAACTGGTAACAATTTTCAGATACGTACTTAACGGCGAACCAGTAGAACGTTTTTGGAATTATATGAATCCCGAAAAATGTGACGCTGATACTCCTACATATTTTGAGCATCGTAGATCCATTAATATGAAATTTCCCTAACAAACTGATTCCACAAAGCTATGATGGAGCCGCGGTAATGAGCGGGCATAATGCTGGAGTACAGGCAAAAATTAAACAAAGATATCCATTTGCTCGCTATGTGCATTGCTATGCGTATCAGTTAAACCTGATTATGTCCCAAGCTGCTTCCGCAAATGCTCAAGTTCCGGTGTTCTTTGGGGATTTGAAAGATATTCCGAGATTTTTTAATAATTCTCCTCAACGCGTAGAGGTACTGAACAGAATTGTGGGGAAAAAAATTACCCAAGGAGCAACAACTCGTTGGAATTTTAATATTCGAACAATAAATGTAGTGTTTGAGAACAGAGAATCACTCATTGTGCGGTATTCGCCCTATGTTACAACGATTCTGTTTTCGTGTTTTGGTTGACATGTTTTCATAATGCCATGCCTCACGTCGACATGTTGTTCAACCAGTTGCAGAAGGGAAAAACCGAGGCAGCGCAAGTTAAAACGGCTATCGATAATTTTGAAAAATGTATTGTCGATGTGAGAAATAAAATTGATGACATAATAAATGAAGCCAAACGTATTTGCACTGAAGCCCAAGGCAACAAAAGGAGACGACGTAATAATAGCAGTCACGATCACCGAGTTGCTGCATTAGAAGTATGCGACAATCTAGTGAATTCTGCAAATGACAGATTTCAAATCAAAGATCATTTGGTAGTCGCATCCCTTTTTTTCCCCGAACACTTTGGAGAATACTGTGGTAAGTTTCCTGATGACAAGTTGGAAACTACCTGCTTGGCTTATCCCGAATTAGAATAAAGTCGTTTAAAGACAGAGTTGTCTGTTATTTATGCACGGAATGATTGCCGAGATTTACATGGAACTGTCTCTTTTGAAATTTTTGATACAAAATAGTTTGGAGGAAACTCCAAAAGAAACAAAAAAGCTATTAGAAATTATTGTTACAACTCCTATGTCAACATCAGAGGCTGAGCGAAATTTCTCAACATTGAAAAGAATCAAGTCCTTTCTTCGAAATACTATGACTCATGATCGCCTTACAGCGTTGCCGATGCTGACGATTGAAAAGGAATTTATTTCGACCATGGAAAATTTCAACGGGAAGGTGATCGACAAATTTCTTGCCAAGAAGGAGCGCAGGATCGAACTGACATATAAGTAGCTTTAGCTAAACTTCGCCATAATGAATCGCACTTTGTATCTTTGTAAATAAAGACGATATTATTATTATTATTATAAAACGTAGGTAAGTTCGGATTTGCAGAACACCTGTTTTATTTTGCCACGAGCCGCCACTGGATTGAAGTATACCCAAAACATTTATCTATAGAATTCGGCCTCGTTCATATGTCCACCACGGGCACGTTCGCAGCGATCGATTCGTTGAACCCAATTTTCAATGACTCAGCCACACATTTCGACAGATCCGCTATCTCTCGTTCAATATCGGCTCTGAGCTCCTCTAACGACGTCGGCTTATTGGCATAGACCAATGATTTAATGTAGCCCCACAAAAAAAGTCTAGAGATGTTAAATCACACGAACTAGGCGGCCATTCGACAGGACCATTTCTCAATATAACACGTTCACCGAATTTTTATTTGAATATGTCGATTGTTTCACCCGCTGTGTGGCATGTGGCACCGTCTTGTTGGAACCACATATCTAGCCCATCCAATTGACCGAAAAAATAATGTTGCAACCTGTCTCTGTAGCGATCTCCGTTGACTGTAACGTGACGGTCACTTTCATGAACGAAAAAAAAACGGCCCAATGACACAACCGGTATGAGAACCACACCATACAGTTATTTTTTGTGGATGATGTGGTGTTTCTTGAAGCACATGAGGGTTTTCACCTGACCAATAACGCAAATTCTGTGTGTTGACGAAGCCGTTCAGCCAAACATGCGCCTCATCAGTGAAGATGATTTTGCGATGAAATTTGTCATTTTCTGGCAACATTTTTAGAGCCTGATTTGCGAACGTACGTCGGTTCATATGATCGAACGGCTTTACTTCTTGAGTCAACTTGATCTTATAAGGTTGCAGGCCAGGATATCTTCGCAAAATTCGCCATAGTGTGGTCTCAGCGATGCCCAATTCTTGAGTACGTCGTGGAATCGACATGTTAGTTTGCGACGGAAGTTTGAACGGCAGCAATGTTCTTCTCCACCTCGACCAACCAGCCAGCCAGCAGCGAATATGTGGACTAGACAATGAATTGTTTGTCTAGTAGGACGAGAACTGCGACCAAAAATTTTCGATAACGCTCTCAAACTTGCAGTCACCGACTCGGAATTTGGGTAGTAAATTTTAATTAAATGTGAGCGTTGTTCGTTCGTATACGTCACCATGATGAAAATGTTATCTTTACTGAATGTTTTGACGTTGACAGTTCGGTAATTGATTTAAAGGTGCGTTCAGAGTGAAAGTAGTCAAGTCCCTACTGGAAAACCCGATACCTCCAATCGTATTTTATTTCAACCCGTTAATATATCCATTTTGACTGCCAAACAAAGCTGAATTTCCGAATATTTTAGGAGTGAAGAAGTATCTAAGTTGCAATCACATAAGGGCACACGAATTTTTCTTGGAAAGCATCACGCCAAATCCCAGGTGTAAGTTCATGACAGTGTCATGTCCTTCGTATCAGGTACATATTCTTTAAAGATGTTTTTTTACTTGATGAGAACATAAGATGAGCTCGTATAATATACTTTGGCATACTAACCTATTTATGTTTTGAAAAATAATGAATTTTAAGCTCCATCAAACATTTGTCTTGGCGAACGAAATTTGAAATCACATTTTTCTAGGATTATGTCTCAGGAAAGTGCTTTGGCTGTGGCGAAAACAAAGAAAAATGCCTACCGTTCGGTTTCCATGGCAGAAAATATTACGAAAAGCTATTTGGACATAAGCACAGACACACGAGTAAGATACAATACTTGATCACTGGGGAAAACCACCCGTTTTGCAGTAAGTATCAAAAAATAATATATATAAAACACTATAGTTCACAAGTCATATTTTGAATTGTACTTCGAAAAAGACCACCAAGGTAACCGAAATGTTGGTAAAATCTGTCTTTTTTGCGGCCAACAAAGTATGGACACAGGTTATGCTTGCACCACCTAGCAGTCTTTAATACCCATGGGTACGTGTCACACAGTCTGGCGGAGGACCACGTAAAAAATGTTGCTGGATAACGTTTTAACCAAACGTCAAAGTTCGAAAAATCACTTTTACGAGTAAATTCAAATAGTTATGAATTACTGGTGTAACTAGTCCAAAAAATTTGTAGCAGATGAAAATACCTTCAAATTGAGACCTCATACGGCTCATTTGCCATAACTGTTAATTTATTGTAAAAAAGCGTCAAGAATGGCCAAAAGTTGAAGCCTTGACAACCATAAAAAAATCCATTCAAAAATGCTCAACCGGTTCTTGCTAGAGCCTTAGTTTAATACCGTATTAAAAGAGATAGCAGTTTTTCTTATACCAACCATGTAAAAACGCATCACCATTGGAACATCTATTTTTGCCTTATAAACAATTAGACGGTCGTAATTAGGATGTCCATCACATAAAAGCTGATGGAAAATTCACACTGACGAATAAAGGAACTTTTTTGGACCTTTAAGGGCCAAAAAACAATGAAGACAAGTAGAACAAAAAAAATTCAGGAAATGTTAGGCGCCTTGACAAACACGGCATCGTGCCTTAATAGGCCCAGGCCCTTTATTTTTTGTAAATAAATTAGAATAACTCTGGTAGCACTATAATTGTTTGGTGATGTTTTCAGATTTCATGAAATAATTATATTACAACCTGAATCAAGCACTGCAAAATGAAGCTATGAGAATAATATTGAATAAAAATAAGTAAACCAAAATAAAATCTATGTTACAAGAATTGCAGTGGTTGAATATAAAAAAATGTATATCATATTTGGTTCTTATTTTTATATTTAAAATAAAAAATCATCTATTGCCACCACATTTAGAACACTACATAGAATTGAATAATCATTACGACAATTAATATATAAAAGGAGATATAGATTTTCATTCACAAAATTGCAATAGTAATATAACTAGTAGTAATATATTAGAATGGATTACTTGAATTTAATAAATTTAATAAATGATATAAAGTCTACTTGTAATTTAAAGGTGTTCAAAGAAAATTAAAGGAATATTTCATGAACAGTGGAAATTCTTAGAGATGCAAATTTTGATTTTTTCTAAATATCTGTCTGTTATGTAATTGTTTAGGTTTTTAGAAGAATGTAATTGTAGCAATCATGCTAAATAAATCTTAAAAAATAAAAAAAAACTTGAAAAGAAAACTCAAATATATACATTTTTCATGAGAAAATCAAACATTACCTTTGGCTTCGGAAAACAAAGACATCATTTGAATTAGTTTTGAAGGCAGTTTATCAAACTTCAAATCTTTTTTATACGTGGGCTTATAAGGCGAGCCTGCATTTTTCATCAGCTTTCCAGTGGTGAGCATCCTAATTAGGACTCTAAAAAAATAAGGGACTTACTTTGTGTATAAAGCAAAAATAGATGTATTCTTGGAAACACTTTTTTACATGGTCAGTATAAAAAAATGTAGTACCTCTTTTAAGAAATCATACTAAGTCTTTAGCTAGAAAATGATCCCTATTTGAGACGTTGAGCACCAAAGACAAGAACGTTTGGCTATTGTTTCAGATTTATCGTTATGCATTTTCCATTAAAAAATAAATATAGAAATCGACGGTTTCTGGCGATTTTTTGTGATAAATTAATCGTCATAGCAAATTAGCCATATAAAGGTTTTTCATCCCCAACAATTTTTTTTTGACTACTTACACAAATAGTACCAATAATTAACTATTTGAGTATATACGAAAAAGCGGTTTTTCCAACTTTGACGTTTAATAAAAAAGGAGGCTAGCAAAAATTTTTATCTCTCGCTGAGGAGCCTTTCTGTATACCTTCAAAAATAGAATTCCATTGTAAAACAGCCTATTACAATTGTTTTATAACGACCCCTGCAACGAAGACTATAGTAACTCAAAAACCCTTGCTTTGGACCTACTATACGGTATCGATAGATCTTATCGGGTTCTCTCTGGTGAAAGGGTATGGTATCTCAGCCACGTAACTATAAGCAACCAACAAATCTTCTACGTCATATAGTAAGTATAATAGTGGCGGTTGCTCCCGCGAAAACTACATCAAATTGAGTTACTTAAGTCTTCGATGCAAAAAATCACGTTAAGCCTAAATTGCTGCTAAACCTTCTGTCTGACTTACTATGATTTTGGCGGCATGTTTTGAGGTTACGGTAATTAATAGCCAAAACGTTTCAAATATTAGCTGTATGAGAAGAGCAGTTTTCAAAGCGAACTAAAATGAATTCAAGAAGCAAAATAATTCTGGCACATACAAAGAAGCTAAGTACAGTTGCTGAACCGTTAAATTCAGGCAAGTTTGGTTCATAAATAGTGATGATTTCTTTTAACACAACAAAAAGGTTTAAACATAGCATCCTCTTCTTATTCTGCACGTTATGTATTGGGATCTGTCGCATCACCAGAATTCAACTACTACAGTCCTCGGTTTTGGTAAGACGACACTCACGTGTTTGCTCTTCATTCGCTCATCTCCAAGTCTGTACCTGATACAGACCTATATCGTACTGACGAGGGCTAAAGAGTTTGTCTGCGGTTGGTCGTGAATCCATTAGTTTTAAATAAAAGGTAAAATAGGAAAATTGGAACAAGGCCGATTGTGGAGAAAAGTTGAAAATGAATAAGATGAGAGCCTCGTGAAATGAAATATAAGTGCGACTACATTGATTATTTATCAGAGAATGAGACCGCAAAACAATACGCTTCAGGACCTTTGCTATACACAAGCTTGCTTCCAGTAGATGCTATAAAATTAAATGCTTTATAAGACCTATGTAAATCAAAAGCAAACAGCCTTCCTAGCAGTCCTGAGGCTTACCTGCTTTTCATTTTTCTCTAAAAGCCAAGGAAGATAAAAAATACAAAGAGGACATAATACTAAGTGATAGTGGAGAACAGGAAGATAAATATAATTTGAGCGACTCAGATTGGCATTAAAGAGGTTGTTTTTTCGACCATTTGTTTGAAAAATACTGTAATATTTCAATAAATATCCTACTAAGTCTAGACCAAGTGTACTTTTTTCTTTAATTGATCCAACGAAAACTATAGTAAGTCAGCAAAATTTATAAAAAAATTGTCATTTTCGCTAGGTTTGTATAGTAATACCATTTATAACCTTTACATACAAGAATTACTGCATGTGCAACATATTTTCGATGAGATCGTCATTTTTCTGACAACGAAATCCATGAGAAAATCTTCTAATGCCTATCTCTGTTCAACCAAAACTGAATTACGATAGTCTTCCTCGTAGGGATCGATAAGATCCGCCGGGTGGTACCACACGCTCAAAGATTAGTAACCGTCTATCAACTATGGTTAACAGTCAAGAAAAAATGGCTCTTGGGACGTCATTCAAACCCCCCATAATACTTCCAAATAAAATCATTTATTATCTACATTATGTCGGTGGAATTGGATCCCATAACTTCAGTGTCCCATTCACATTTACACGAGTACAGAATATCAAATCCCACTATTTACCTTTCTCCTCTATTTTTTACACCGCATTTAAATTCGCACTATTTCACAATTCACTTCCTGAGGACAGTGAAGATCATTTTAATGTTGAAACATTTCCAGGGGGCCATTACAGGATCATAGTCCAAATCTCAAAAAGCAACGAAAGTCAAACACACGGGGGAGAGATAGGCCAGCTTTTATTCAGGATGCACAGTACAAGTGATGGAAAAGGGTTCAAATCGGAGCCTGCCGGCTTCTTTAGTGGGTTCCATGAGCCTGGAGGGATTTATATGGGCGTGGTCGCAACTGACGAGGTACACATTTCATAATACTTATACCTGGTATAATTTCATATGCATGCCAAAATTATACTGTTAGTTCCAACCCAACCAACAAATTCGAATAGGTTAGGAGGCAAGCGTAAGCGTATGTACTAAAAACCAATAACCACTGACCTCGTAATGTGTCCAATACGTGTGTTAGAAAGAGATAGAAGCACCTTGATGCCAAGCAGCCCGAGTGCGAGGTTACGGATACTATCGGCGTACTGTTTCTAACATACATGTTGTACGCTTCACGGCGTCAAATTTTAACCTCACCGTATGTTTACATTGTGTTGTTGGTTGCCGAATTCGCAAAGTTTTAGTTTTTCATACATTTGCACTTTCAAAAAATAATAATGAATATACGAATTTAATGGCAGAACTGTAAAAAAATTGACTTATGTCAACTGTACTTTGATGCAATCAACGAAGTCAGACTATGTAGAAGGAGGCAGTCAATGATTTGTTTGACCCTTATTCTCAAAGCCAGTAGTGAGGATCAATGTGCACTAACATAAGTCAATTTTTTGACAGTTCTCTCATTAAATTTTTAGTGTTTTTTTTTGGAAGTGTGAGTGTTCGCAGATAATTGTTATATTGGACGATTTCAAGACGTGCTACTTCTTACACAATTTGCAGAGCAACCCAAGCCTAATGAATATAGAAGTTGATACAACACTGTCATTTTGTTAGGAATTGGTAGACAAATGAATCAAAAGTATGCGCTAAGACTGCGCAGGTTTTGCAACAAACAATACAATGCAAACATATAGGCTTCGTTGGTTCCAACAAGCAGTTTCTAGCTACCAAGGACTTTCAAATACAGCCATCCAATGGAATTAACGTCACGGTAATGCTGATCAGCTACGTACAAAACTGATCTGGTCCACTGTAAAAAAATCTTTAGACTGTCAGAATCTGTTGTTGAAAATAACTTTTAAGTTAGTAGTCTGTCATTATAACCATAAAATGTATCAGATACGTCCACCCATTACCTAAATAATTGACCCTTCTGCCTTTCGGAGTTCAGATCACTTTCTTCAAAGACAAACTCAAGACTCTTACATAGACGTGAGCAAGACGATCCTACTCTTTTCGACCGATACGCCTATACACTTTACCCGTTCATACTCTCCTGCAGCATGCTGGCGCATTTCTGGTTCGGTCAAGGTCTGCATATCGAAAAAATGGAGTCAAGTATATTGACTCTGCACTTCCTATGCACGCCGCCATCAGTTCATGACGGATTAAGTTCACCGCAAGTTAAACCCTCCCAGGAAAAAAATAGTGTCGAACGTGTACAATAGAAGAATTAAACCATCAGGCCCTTACAATTAGTCCATAGACATTCTTTCCCTGTCCTACCGGTAGTTACCGTCTGCCTGGCAATAACGTTACCCCTTCCCATATCGGCAGCCACGGCAACGCCAAACGAATCACCGTCGCAGTACGATCAGAACAATCAAGCACATCGTTACGTCGGGCGCTGAGCCAGATAGCAGATGCATATCAAAAACGTGTGCGTAGAATTACCGGCAGGGGTATTATGTAACTTTAGAAGTGACATTATGTCGATTTTTTTTTTGATATTATGTAGGTTTTCCTACAAGATGTCAACTTGAAACTAGGTATCGTTCACTTTTTGTTCACTTGTAGCAACCACCGAATGAACTATTTGCACTCTAGCCTACTTAGCCAACAAATTGAAATTTCATGTTTTTATATATATATATATATATATATATATATATATATATATATATAATTACGTAATAACCCTGCGGGGCTGGGAGCGTATAAATATACTAACATAACAAATTGAGATATAACCTCCCCCAGCCCCTAATTTTTCAGGGCTAATTTTTTTTAATGATCAGGATCTCAAACGTCAAAAAACGACGTTGGAGCGAAGTGCATCATCAATGTTTTCGTTTTCGACCTTTTTCTCCGCGGCCCCTGGGCCGATTTCCAAAAAATTACAAAGCTTTTTCGTCCTTAGCATAGTAATAACCTTATGTAAAAAGTTCATCCAAATCTGAGCAGTACTTTCAAGTTATAGACGGGCCAATGATGATTAGCGGACAGACAGACAGACCGACGAAAATGAGTGGCATGGTTTTTCATGATGTACATGTCATATAACATCCAAAAAACATACTTCATTTTCTAAATCTTTCGCGATTACAATACTTCCTCGCTAGTTGGAGTGGTAAGTACTTACAGCTAGAGAACTAGGAAGTAAAACAGACGAAACTATTATCACTCTTTTCTTCCCAGGTATTAAGAATGAAAGACAATCTATCAGAAGACTTTTCCCATTTCTAGTCAAGCAGTCAAAAATTTGCACAATGTTATTTTACAGGTGTCGCACTTGAAGGCGATAGAAATAGAATGGAAATATAACAGCAGTCTGTTCAATCCTTTAACCTGGAGAATACTGAGTACACCCAAAATATATCTGAAGAAAGTTACTGTGGAGTCATTAGAGTTAGATCAAAGGTAAGTAATAGTTGAAGGTTAAAAAAAATGTTGAAAATTCTTCCGTGGATATACGATTGTGCTCCTATCAAAATCTAGTCAAAGGAGCTAATAAGATTTTATTATATTTTCAGGATAACAGTTTGTCCAAAAAGCCAGAAGCCGTTGATAAATGGAATTCCACAGCTAATGATACGATCTTACTGTTAGGCTACTGTTAAATATCTGGAATACATATATTTCGTATTTCTTCCCGGTGGATTTTTATCAAAAGTCAGCCTTATGATTTAGTTCTCGTGACTGTAATGTCTCCTGTTTTAAGAACCTGTTTTTACCAATTCAAAAAGACTATAAGTACAGAATGTCCTACTCAAATGTACAGGGTGGCCGATATGTAACTGACTGGTTTGTATCTTGAATATTTGTGAAATGAAATAAAATACGTCCACAAATGTCCGCCTCTAAAAGTCGCGCAAACCTGAGCTCTCTTGATTACATTTTCCATCAATTTTTGGTAGGTTTTGGGAGGAATATTTTCAAACGATCCTGTAATATTGTTCTTCAGCTGCTCTACAGTATTTGGTTTGTTGGTATAAACCCTATTTTTCAAAAATCCTCATAAAAAAGTCATTCGACAATTCTGCTTATTAACAAATCCGTTCATATCGAAGTGGGCTTCATCATTATCAGTTGTCGGTAAAAATCGTTATTTTGGGATTTAAGCTGCAACATTGCATGACTGTAGTGTCGGCGACTTTCATGATCACTAGGCTGTACGAGTAGTTCTTGGTTTAACTGAATTTTGTATGGCCGCAAATGCAAGCCTTTTTTTAAAATAGTGTATAATGACGGGCGAGGAATACCCAGTTCTTGAGAACGATGTCTGGAGACGTCTCAGGGCGCTCCACTACACTTTCACGACCCGACCTAGGCAAGTCTTTAACTTTACCAACTGATGAATGGTGTTGACAATGCGCACATTATCTCAACCGAAATCTTGTCATAGCTTCCGAATCGATGCAACAATCGACTCATTATTCAAGTAAAACGTTATAACAATACGGACGCGTTGTAGGATCGTGCTCCACGATGAATTGGACACGTGCTTTAAACTGAAGCCAGCTACTGAAATGCGTTTATCAAAAATGGCCCGCAATTTATATCAGTCAGTTATATATTGGCCACCCTGTATATAAAAGTTATAGTGCCTAAGATGAAGTTTTTCATGTAATTTTTTTTTGTATAAAGTTGTATTTTTGAATGGATCACACTGTATATTTTCAGTGAAAATGATAGTCCCTTCTCTCTGATTCAAAAAAAAAATATATGTAGTTTGTTGAACTTACTTTTATTACTTTAGTTGAAAACTTGTTTGTTTGTCATTTAATCATATGTATGTATGTCTGCTCTATACCAGATTGCATAGGCGGCTAGACACAAACTTCAAGTTTTTGGCCAAACTAATGAAAATGAGTATACTACACCATATATATTTTGAATTAAAGAAGCTGAGCTACTAACTGCTGACTTTTGTTAAGGTGTATCCTGTACCTGTTGCAATTTTTATACAATCATATCCGGCAATCAAGTTGGAAATAATAGCCAATAGCGTCTTCAGAGGAGGATTTAAGAGTTCCCTTTCCTGTGGTGAAAAATGTAAATTGGCACCTCGGTTGTTGACTGCAATTTTAGATAAACTTTGGATTTTCGACTCGATTGCTCATCACAATCATCCCATTACTGATTGCATCATATTTAGTCATTATTTATTGTAAAATATGCTTGGTACCAATGTAAATATAATGTTTATTATTTTTTTAAGACAGATTTTATTGATTGCATCAGAGCCTTATCCGGTTATCCTTTACATTATTTTGGCTATATTTCTACATAAAACAGCTAGAAATCCTTAACTTTTGAACTATTTTTTCACTTATTTACCAGTTAAGTCTTGCAAATATTAAATCGCAACGTTCGTCTACATCTTGCACATCCATAAACACCTAATACTGGGGACAATAGCACTTCCTTTCTATTTCAAGTTTTCCATACCAAAATCTGGCACTGGCGTTAAAGAAAACATTTCTTTAAGACATTATATCATTTTATTTGAGGTGATATACTCTTCGTCTTTGCACTCGGAGAAATAATATAACACAACTTAAAATAGTATTAAAAAAGTAGTACTTAAAATTATTTGTACATGCTCTCATTTTATTTCTAAGATTGCATTGAATGTCGATTTATTTCATTTGTAAAGGAAAAAATAGTCAAGTATAATTGCTTAAGAACTATGCTGAGGCCTGTACGGATTTTTTTTACATATCGCAAACAACTGAAAACATATTTTCTACTTTCATCTCTTGTGAAAAATTCATGTGAAATGATTTTTTCATTTGGTAATTGCTTTGTATTAAAAAAATATATTGAATAGTTAGAAAAATAGAAAAACAATGAACCCGTTTCTCTCCTTTTTTAAACCTATAATTTCTCAGCTACAACAATAAAATGGTTGAAATTATGCAATTGTGAAAACATTAAGTAAATGTGGACCAGATTTTACCGATATTCCAATTGAAGAATCCTCGAAGCGTCCGCATAGCTCCTGTAAAGTATCAGTACTTTCTAAAAACGTTAAAACTAGAATATATCTTCTGGATTTAACTGTCTCTTGGATTACAAATAAAACTTTGGAAAACTGGCTTGCACCGTCTGTTCTCCCAAATTAATGATCACCACGAGAATTTGAAACATAATCAGTATATTGCTGAAGCAATTAAAGTCACAATCAAAAATATATAAGCCCTACTAAGCAGAACTGACAGACCAAGCTGACTAGCCAAAAATCGACCCTGTTTTATATTCTTGAGAGTACGTCTCAAGACTCCTCATCAAGAGATAAAAAAAAATTTGCTAACTTTTTTATTAAACGTCAAAGTTGGAAAAACTACTTTTTCGCGCATTTTGAATTATTTTCTCGTAGTACACAAAAAAAATGTAGCGGATGAAAATACCTTCAAACCACAAGTTCGAGACACTGTTGCTGTTTTTTAATTTGTTTTTCGGCCACTAAGGTATCAAAAGTACATTTTTTCGTAGTAGGCATCCCAATTACAACTGACAAAAAACAACGAACTTATTCTAATTGCTAATAAGGCAAAAATAGATGTAATATTGGCGACACTTTTTTACATGGTGTGTATATAAAAATCTGGCATCTCTTTCAATAAGATATTGAACTGAGTCTCTAGGAAGAGAATAAGCCACAACAAGCTTCAACTAAATTTAAGATTTACCATTACACATTTTCCAGGAAAAACTAATCGCAGAAATCGCCGATTTCTCACGTTTTTTGTAATAACAAATTAAGCACTTCAGCAATTTTGAATGTAGTTTTATCCGGAAAAACGTTTTCGGGCCACTTACACCAATAGTTCACAACTATTTGAGTATACTTCGAAAAGTGTTTTTCCAACTTTGTCGTTTAATACAAAAGCCTATTACCATTTTTTCTCTCAAATTCTAGATATCCTGTCTATAAGTATTCGAATGTTATCTTTAAAATGAAATTTGTACGAATGTGAGCGATGAACTGAGCCAGGAATACGTTTTGTGGGAATCGCATACGTAATCCAAGAGACATGCAAACCAAGAAAACAACTATGGAGCAACAGCAGTTACCATGACGCGATGGATGAGAAAGAAAAAAATGTTACATCTGAAACTAATCATGTGGCTTTCATGTCGATAATCCACCATGTTTCTCTGGTCAAAAAAAACTGTCCTTCTTTGGTACAAATGATTTTGACAATATATTTTATTTATCCATCTTCCAAGTAACTCTACGACAAAGTGTCACCTGTCAAAGTCATTGTACTGAAGAAAGTCACCGTTGCGACTGGAACGTTTACAATAAAGAATATTTTTTCACCACATGTGGTTTCGATTGGCCAGATATATATGGGTATTATCAAAAAAAATATCTACTCTTAGTTAAAGATGATAGAAGACAACGTAGATGGCATCAATTGAAACGTTGTAAAGAATGGCACATAGTTCTTGGAGCACTCACTTTCGATTTAGCATAGTGATGCCATCATAAGTAGTCTTCCTGTTGTATATTGTACTTGGGCAGCTTGGCAGCAAAATAGAAACAAAAAACCGATCTACAATTGTTGAATCTACGATTTCTTATAAAAATTACAAACGCTAGTAATGTGTGCCTTACACCACTTACAACCGTTACAGAAGTTATGGTGGGCGCCGTTTTTCATCAAAAAAATCGGCTACCCTCCACTCCAGATAAATGACCTATGTATGTATATTTTTCTACAAATGTAATAACAATAAGCTATATTTTACTAATCATATTGAGTTACGTTATTACGAGAACCGAAAATTTTAGATACTGACCAAAATAAAATTCAATTATAAAAACCTCGACACACGCTGTTGAAGAAACAATAGTTTGTCCAAGCTATTTTATATCAGAAGAAAAAATGAACAAATATAGTATTATCATATAGTATCAGTAGTTTGAAAATTGAATAGTTTTTTTTATACTAACATCCCTTCAAATACAAGTTTTTGAAGTTACTACGAATTCGACAATTTTTATTTATACTTCCTTTGTAAGAAAGTTACGAAAATTTCAATTTTTATAACATATTTTATAACGATAACAATAAAAAAATCTCGAGTGAACGATTGAAAAAGTGAAGCAAGTAAAGCAATTGTTTAGCTTATTATGCCTTTTTGAGTTTACACAAACATATTATAGTTATAAAGTATACTGCAAGAAAGACTTTACGTTTCCATCATAACGCTTAGATATATATTAGCGGGCAAAAGTTTGGAAGCAAATATTAACATTATTATGAATTATTTCATATACCTGAATTAAAATTGGGAAGGAACAGATAATATAAATATTAAAGTCTACATTTGTCTCCCGTACTAATACAAGGTTTATCTTATCAATAATCAAATTCTCTGAAAATAAAAACACGCGTTTTTTTAAATACCACAGTTTTTGTAGCGACAAAAGTATGGAAAAGTTTCAGTTTTGCCGTATTTATTCGTTCTGCGATACTCTGCTATTGCGTGCGGTAAATATTAACATCAGTGAGAATGGCAAAAGTAAAAGAATTTTCAAAAGATTTAAGGGACAAAGTAATTGAATTATTTAGAAGTGGTGTCAGAAATGTTGACATTTCTCAAAGATTAAAAATAAACAAAGGAACGATTCCGAAAGTTGTTAGTAAATATCAACAATATGAAGACCGAAAAAAAAAACGATTATGTTTTGGATCTCTACGTTAAACGTTTGTCCCATCAAGATCCTCGAATGCCAGACACACAGATTTCCAAAAGAATCTTAGAAGAGGGTGCCGAGAATCTTTCCGTCAGAACAGTGCAGAGACGGTTGGTGGATTTTTGGTTTTTTGGTAGGCGCCCAGTGCGAAAGCCTATCATTTAAAAAAAAATCGTATTGCTCGGCTTGAATTTGCTAAAACTCATCTAACTTGGACAGAACAACAATGGAATACAGTTTTATGGAGATAAAAGCAAATTTATCTTGTTTGGATCTGACGGTACGGCATATGTGAGACGTCCAATACGAAAGAGACTCGACAAAAAGTATCCAACAGTTAAGCACGGTGGAGGCAACATCATGGTTTGGGGCTGGTTTTCTAGTTCTGGAACGGGTCCAATTGTTAAATTGTTGGGAAAATAGATCAAAAACCTTACAAAGATATTCTTAGTGAACACATGCTCCCTTTTGCTGAAGAAGCAATGCCTTTAAGATGACATTCCAGCAAGATAACGACCCCAAGCATACCTCAAAATTCGTAAAAGACTAGTCAAGACTTAAAAATGTTAATGTTATTTCATGACCTTCGCCATCCCCGGACCTAAACTTTTTAAAATAGGAACGATTCATTTGATTATGTAAAAAAATATTTGGCAAAATATCCCAACAGACGTCTATAAAAAATTGGTGTCTTCTATGAACAGCAGATGTCAGTCAGTGTTAAATGTTAAAGGCTACGATACCAAATATTAGCTAAAAAGTATTTTTAAAATCTTTTTGTAGAGTTAATGTATATAATTTTGTAAAAAAAATACGTTTCCATACTTTTGTCGTCTCGTTTTTGGTCTTAAAATAATACGAAGGTATTTTAATGTTAGTCTGTAATACAACAGCAAACACAAATTGTCATTTGTATCCGCAGGATTATAAGCAAAAAATTGGCACACTTTTAAAAAATTACTAAGAACATTTAAAAACTCTTGTCCGCTAATGTACATATAAATTAAGAAAGAATAATATGAACGGTTTGACAATACATTGCAAGATTATAGAAATAATAATTATTTTAAAAATAATATAAGTGAGCCAGATCTATGGCAGTCTTGCTTTCTGTTTCGAAGGGAAGGGAAAAAACTAAAAATATTTGTTCATGTACAGAAACATTCCTTGGCAACGTCCTCACACGTAACTGTTAAACATATGCGGTTTCGCGGATTTGAAACTCAAGTTTGGCTTGGTTTTCGGAAATATTCGACTGCTGGTTGGAATTCCAGGAGTACATTTTTTTTAATTTTATTAGTCTTTATAAATTGCCTAGCAAGTGGAACAACATTTCTGAACCTTTGTCTTTTAGTCATCAAGACGTATTCTTAAACCTTATCTGCGGTTATTTTCTAAATGAAATACTTTGACGTCTTCATTGTACGGTTTGCAAATTCGAAAAGTTCCTTACATAAACGGAACTCGATACTCACAGCAACATACGTTCGTTCTACACATTATTATTTACACCACATGCACACGCGTATACAATATCGCTTAATGCTTAAATGAACATGTCCAAGCTATGGAAGGGCTCAGTTGAATATCATTTATTACAGCTTGAAACGGGGTCAGGTGTTGAATGATGAATTACAAAAACCTCCGAAAATATGAAGATCTTTTAGTTTTCTAAGCTTACTGACTCTAGTGAAATGCTATCATGAAATTTCCATCACCACTCAAAACAAATTGAAGACTCCAATACAAAAACCACTTCTATATGTATATCTAATAGTTCTAGTGGAAATTTTCCCATATACAAATGAGTAGCTTTCCTTTTGGCCACTTTTTAAGATAATCTCACCTCACTCCTTGTCGCCTCACATGCCAATATGTTCCATTAGCCAAAGTGAGATGAGATTCCTCACTTCTCCCCGCGCCCCTGGACCATGTGCTTCACGGTACATACATGCTTTAGAGAGATGTTTGGCTCTCTTGATTGGATAATCGGGTGCTGGATTTGTTTATATATTAGCTGGCGATTGGCGAATTTTGGATAAAGATTTTACAAACCTTTAGCTGCAAATTTTTAGATATACATCGATAATACGGAAAAGTGTTCATGGAACACTGAAATTTAAGGTTATAAGTACACGTTCCGTGCTTGTGCCGTGAGTCACTCAGTTGCAAAAGGAAAGCTACAGGTTCTACGTCATTGTTGTGGGCATGCATGTTTTAACCATAGCCCCGGTCTGTAAGGATGTTTGTGGCCGAATTATCATCCACTAAATTGAGTTATCTATCTTTTTATGTATGTATGGTTTGAGATCCTGCAACATTCAGTCGAGGAAACAAAGCTGTTGTCCTAGTATACCACGCTAAAAATTGAAATAAGCGGTTTTACAGCGGTATCATCTTCTTGAAGGTAGATAAAAAAGCTCGTTCCTCATCGAGAGTATACCAAAATTTCGTTGAACTCAAATCCGTCATAAAACAGATCATTACATTTTTTTCTCTCAAATTTCTCAACTATGTGAAGGGTGTTCCATCTATTGCTTCTTTTTTCAACTACCATTTTTGGCATGTTAAATGTGTCAACTGCCATGTGTTTAGCACATATGAACTCTCAAAGGTCTGCCATTTATTATAATGGATTCGTTAGCAACGCAAGAACTTCGTGATGACTTTGGTCGACATAATCGTCCCAGAGAGCGTGGAATTCGGTGGATTATCAATCGTTTTGAGTAAACTGGCTCAGTTGAACGTCGTAGAACATATCAATATGCCCGTCCGGTACGTACACGCTAATCAGTGGCCGCTGTGTTCATGCACAGCCATCAACTTCGATAAGACACCGTTCGCAAGAACTGGACATCAGGCCAACAACATTATGGAGGATTTAGCATGTTGATCTCAACCTACACCCATACATGAATCCAACTAACTCAACCATTGAAGCCAGCGGCGTATTTTTGTTAATTGGATGCTTGAAAAAGGCGAGGGATTTTCGGCTAAAATCATCTTTTCAGACGAGTCACATTTTTACCTCAGTTGCCACGTAAATAAGCAAAACTGTAGGATGATCAAAAAGTAACTGTTTGGTGCGGATTGGACCGTTCTTTTACGAGGATGAAGAAGAAAAAGCCGTTACGGTCACCGCCGAACGTTATCCTGGTCTGATAACGGATTTTTTTTGGTCGAAATCGGAAGGTATTGATGCCAATGACCTTTGGTTCCAGCAAGACGGTGCAACTTCGCACACAGCTCGCCAAACAACCCAGTTATTGGCCGAGAAATTTCCAGATCCCATTATTGGCCTCCAAGACCGTGCGACTTAATGCCACTGGACTATCTTTTCTGGGGATTTTTGAAAAGTGAAGTGTACGTGACTGCCCCACGCACGATTCAAGACCTTGAGCGCAACATTCGCACCGACATTGAGGCCGTGGTCCCGCTGATACTGCAAAAAGTCATCGAAAATGATGGCATGTCAACGGAGCCGCGGTGGACATATGTGCGATGTTATATTCCATACATAAATGGCAAAGACCGACCTGCAATTTTCAATAAAGAGTTCGGTTTCTCACTCATAAAAAGTGTGTTTTTTGTTTAGATTAAAAAAAGAACTAACGGATGGAACACTCTATATAAGCTATTTTCCTCCGTTCCCAAAAATGATTATGCATTGGAGCCAATTTTTGTTCCTGGTCCATGGTTAGGCCAAACGATAATACAGTACCAAAAAGCTGGTATTTGAATGCTTAATAGTGATAACGTAAATCGAAAAACTAAATTAATTTTGCTTCTAATATCGCTTTATATTGGCATCACACCCAGAGAGAAGTGGAAAAACGGTTAGTCCTTGCATTTATCTCGATCTCGTAGTGCGATGTTCTGTATTTATTCATAAACTCGTCCCTAATCAAGACCACACGAATCAGCAAACACAAACTGTGCCATCGTTTAAGCTGCTTCAGTAGCCTTTACTCAAAAACAATATTGAATTTCACTATATCAACCAAGTACCGAGAACAGTACCGAGCAAAAGTAGAGAAACAAACCACATTACAAACAAGAATCCAGAAAGATTTACTCTAGCCCAAAACAGTACACTACACTTTTGTATTTATGACTACCTCAAGATAATGAAATGCTTATCATTGTATACATTCTTTTTTTTTCAATATAATATGGTCGGGTTTTTGTTCAAGGAGCAAAAGTAGAGAAACATTTTGTAAATATTTAGTTTATATTTAGTCGCTGATTAGAAAAGGTGTTATTTTTGAGTGTATGTATTTGGTAAAGGAATTACATTGAATTTGCGAATAAAAGAATTGACTATTTTAAAATATCGATCAGGCATTAAACAAGCAACCATAGCCAACCAGGTGAATTTAATCGGTAATTTGCAAAACTATTAAGCTGTTTGACATAAAAGCTCAGTTGAAGAAGTAAATATTGGTGTCCACACTGTTAGAAGACGTTTGAGGGAGAGTGATTTACCAGCAAGGAGACCATCTAAAAATCCCTTTATTTCCAAGAAAAATCGGCCGCCCGTCTTCAATTTGCTTACGATCATTTGAACTGGTCAGAAACAAGGTGGAATTCTGTATTATTTGCTGATGAAAGTACATTTAATTTATTTTCATCGGATGGCATTTTATGGGTAAGACGTCCTAAGAACAAGCGATTTGATCCTAGGTACACTTTGGGCACAATCAAACACGAAAGCGAGAATGTTCAAGTATGGGATTGCTTCCCTGGTCTTCAAATGGGACCCATCGTCAAAATTGAAGGAATTATGGACCGGTACAAATACTTGGAAATCTTAACTGATACCATGCTACCTTAGGCAGAAGAAAACATGCCTCTTCGCTGGCGGTTCCAGCACGACAATGACCCTAAGCACACAGCGAAAATAATAAAAACGTTTTTTGCCGATCACAATATTGTCATTAAGTGGCCAGCTCAGAGTCAAGACCTTGACCCCATAGAAAACCTATGGGATTTAGTTAATAAAAAAATTCGGACTGAACATCCAGAATAGTTCAAAAATAGTGCCGAACTATTTGAAACAATCGAAGTCGCCTGGAATTCTATTCCAAAAGAAACAATAGAGAGCCTAATTGGTTCTATGAGAAAAAGATGTCTAGCAGTTATCAAAAATAAAGGTTATGCAACCAAGTATTAACTTCTTTGTACACGACAATTGCTTTATATGTTATGTTTCTCTATTTTTGCTCGCTGTATTTTCTAATAGTTTTATTAAAGCAGAAATTTTATTTTCATGTTAGCTTTGAATTACATGTTACATTAAGTTGTAATAAAACATAAGTTTTTAGTTTACTTTGATAGTTTAAAAAAAATATTTAAAAAAATAAAATGTTTCTCCACTTTTGCTCGGTACTGTATCTGTAGAAAGCATGTACTTTCGCCATACCCATTATAGATTTATAAAGGCATCTGGGTAGCAAAAACGTTGGTACCATTCATAACTGCCATGATTTCTGAAAATAGTCCTTTTACAACAATAAGCTTTAGCATGTTTGTTTTTGTCATATTGTACCAGTTAGGCACACAATTAGATTTTTCCGAACAAGATTTCAGTAGATACAGCATTTTGATTAACCATGGCAGAACTGTTAGTTCCAAAAATTAGCCAGATCAAGTACGGCCATCACCTTGCTACAATCAATACTGAGTATCCAGACAAAAAACCTTATTTACTTTCTTCGATAGAACATCCCGGGGTTCTTACATCCTAATTATTGGCACTCTTCCGTCGGCTTCGGGGCCCGCCCCTAGGACCACTGTTGTGGCCGTGAGGCCTTCGCTATGCCTTGTTGTTTTTGGCTATATTGTGCGAGGCCCAGTTCAACGAGGTCTTCCAGGAATTCGACAGGGCTTCGTCAAATTTGGCACGAAAATGGGCCAATGCTTCGTCTTCCGTTTTGTTCATCACCTGGAAAACAAACATTTTTCTAGAGAATAGCAACCTTGGTAAAATAAGGCTAAGGTCGGAAAACAGGCCTTCGATTGACGCTGGCTTCGAAAATACACAGAAAGAATACGAGAGTAGCTATTTATATTTTGAGCGTAACAATGAAAAAATCACTTTACTATTTCAAAATACAGGGTGTCCGCAAAGTTGGGGTTTTACTTTTCAGAAACAACTACCCTTGAAATAACAAAGGAAATGTGTGAAACGAGGGCGACCAAGTAAAAAAAAATAAAGAAAAAAGTACTCACTCTCCAGTTGACGAGAAGGGCTAAGTACGTCTCTGCCCGAAATCATACCGCTCCAACAGAAAATGAAATCAGCTGATGCGCTACCGAGCAGACGCCGGCGGTAGTGCAGACCAGTAGACCACGAACAGAGGTAACAAATATGACCATCGTGCAGAAACCACATTGATTTTCTTACACTTAATGGCACATCTTCTAACAAGGAAGGCAAAATGTTGCGTAAAAAGTCTAGGTATTGCATCCCGTCCAATCGATTTGGGAGAATAAATTGTCCAATGAGCATACCGTTCACCATGCCTGCCCAAACATTCACCGAAAATGTTTGTTGAAAATGTGCCCGACGGACAGCGTGCGGATTTTCTACTGACCAAACATGAGTGTTGCGAAAGTTATTCACCCCATTACGCGTGAACGTAGATTCGTCTGTCACCAATACGCACTTCAAAAAGTCCGGATTATTGTCATGTTGATGCAACAACCACTCTCAAAACCGCACTCTTGCTGGAAAATTGTCAGGTTGAAGGGCTTGTACACGTTGGACGTGAAACGGATACAGCACCTCTTCACGCAGCGTTTGCCACACTTTAGTTTTTGATACTTGCACTTCTCTAGCCACGTCACTAGTGGTTGTTGTTTTTTGAAACGCAATCGATTATACGGGTTCGTTTACCTCTACACGCGTGACCGTAACCGTCGGTTGAAGGTTGCATAGCATACTGACATGACACTGACCCCGACCCAGTTCTGTCGTCGGGTTGAGCTGGTGTCCTAGTACCAGTCAGGGATGTCGCGAGTCGCGGCTACAGGACGGTATTCAGATATTTTTGATGTTGCAGAGGCCTTTATCTCGGTTCCCTTAAGACATTGGTGTATAGGGTACTAAGAAAAATTGCTTATGTTTTCAAGACCTATACGTCGTGTAAAGGAAAACCCCAACTTTGCGGACACCCTGTATACTCCATTAATTTTTATCCTTTATTTTTAGGAAAAATGTATACAAAAATCTTGATCTCTACACTTTTTCATCCGTTTGAACCATTTTTCATAACACATACCATCTACCATATGGTATAGAAAACCAGAAGAACTCAACACAGTTCTTTTTATTAATCGAAATGAAAAGTAGCCTGCGATGTAGGACGTGCATTCCAAGTTATATTCAAAACATCCTAACTTTTTGTAAATCCAATATGCCGAAAAAAAAAGAAAATATAACGTAGTCTTCTTGAAAATGCTCCATTTATAATTAGTGATTACAATAATTTAAATCAGTCTATCCTGCCAATAAACAATGTCATTGACATTCTGAAGTAGAAATAAAAATGGGTTCATGTTCAACCTTCCCGATGCAGTCGTCTTTTCGTCGACGAGACAACAAATTCTGTATAGGTAGGCAGGAGTAAAGTGACTATTTTGTGTGTCATGGTAGCCACAGATTATGTGTATATGTCTATTCTATTTTGCAGTCTTTGTCACCTATTTTAAGGCGCAGCAGCTAGGCATGGGTAGCAATCAGCATTACAGTAACCAATAAGAGATTCGTATAGTATTTCCTCCCTTTAAAATGCATATGTTACAAGTTACACCAGATGACATTGCGCAGAAATTGAAAGAAGTGAGATCGAATGCTGCGGGTGTTGATGGTATCACTAAAAATATGTTAAGAAACCCGTTCCCTTTTTGTAAGCAGCAACTAACTAGTATTATCAACCAGTCACTAGCCACAGGAGAAGTACCATCAATATGGAAACAGTCAATTGTAACACCGATTCCTAAAGTCGATAATGCTACAGAATTGAGGATTTGAGACCAATCACTGCTGTACCTATAATGTCGAAGTTGTTAGAGAAAATAGTAGATGATGAACTTCGTGAACACTTAGAGCAAAATAAAGTTTTGCCTGACACCCAGTCGGGTTTCAGGAAACTACACAATATGTCAACAGCACTCATCAAAATTACTAGTGACATAATCAAGTGCACCGATGATGACAAGGTTATACTGCTAGTGATGTTGGATAACAGCAATGCCTTTGATATGGTAAACCACAAGATCCTGTGTACAAAATTGAAACATTATTGTTTTTCCGGCAGTGCTCTACAATGGCTCACGTACTATTTGCGTGATAAAATGTCCGCTCAACGAAAAGTAAAATCTGGTGTCCCAGAAGGGAGTGTTTTAGGTCCTGTACTATAGTAAGTGACATATAAATCCGAACACCCAGTTTAAATGGTTTTATTTTAATAAAAGTTGGTGAATGTATTTATCTTACTGTAAATAACACAAGTCAAAAAATTTTCAGCCTTATCAGTTGGACATTCCGGTTTTTATACTGCTTTTTTTTAATTCACTAACGCTCTAAAAATGAATATTTCAGCCGCAGTAAAGAATCAACGTTGGCGGATTTTGGTTCTTGACATCCTTTACGATCGGTTACCATGCCTAGAGTACGGAGACCTGTACGATTTCGTCAACTTAGTGAGTCTGATAGGGGCCGTATAGTGGGACTTCGGGAAGCTGGACTTTCTTTTCGGGCAATTGCAGTTAGAATGCAAAGAAGTGTAGACACTGTGGTTAGGTGTTGTCAGGCAAGGCTTCGAGAAGGCCGTACGCAAAGAGCAAGGGGCACTGGACGCCGCCGTAGAACAACAGACCGTGAAGATCGCCGCCTAAGATTATTGGCCTTAAGGGACCCTTTCTCCACTACCAGGTCCATTGCAAATGAATGGTTTGCAGAACACGGAAGACCTATTGGCATGCGAAGTGTTTACCGACGAATGAGAAGTTTTGGCTTGTTTTCATACCGGCCACACTGGGTCCTCCCTTTAACTCGAGAACACTGACGTAATCGCCTTGAGAGGTGCAGACAACGGTCACTCTGGGATCAGGAATGGAACAGTATTGTCTTTAGTGACAAGTCTCGATTTTGTTTAGGCATGCACGATGGTCGTGCCAGGGTTAGAAGGCGACGAGGTGAAAGGAGGAATCCACAGTTTTTTGTTGAAAGACATGTTCATCACACTGTTGGAGTTATGGTTTGGGGTGCTATAGCTTATGGTTCCAGGTCACCTTTAATCTTCATCAGAGGTAACATGAACGCGCAGCGTTATATCCACGAAGTTCCAGAACCCCATCTTTCACCCTATCTTGACAGCCTGGCAGATCCAACTTTCCAACAAGATAATGCCCGACCACATGTTGCAAGAGTCACAATAGACTTCTTTCAACATAATGATGTCACATTGTTACCACAGGAGGACATTGACCATCTGATCAGAAGCATGCCTAGGTGCATCCACACATTATTAAAGGTCAAAGGGCTTTAAAGCAGTGCAATCATTTTGAAATTTTTATCATTTACTTATTATGCTTCATTAAGTACTTATACAAAATTTTATTAAAATAAAACCATTTAAACTGGGTATTCGGATTTATATGTCACTTAGTATATTTACATTTTACACATCAGATCTAACGGATTATATATCATCTGGTGGGAATATACACTTGTATGCGGATGATGTACAAATATATAAGGCATGTAAAGCAGATGATGCAAATACCCTCATATCGGAGCTTAACACAAATTTAGAAATGATATTGAAAAAATTATTGTCTAAGACTTAACCCCACAAAAACTAAGGCTTGTTGTATTGGTGCTAGACTAGTTGTTCCAAAATTCAAAAAGGCAGAAAATGCAAATATACTTTTAGATGGTGCCTCTATTCAAATTGTAGAGGAAACAAAAAGTTTGGGAATACTATTAGATACAAATTTAAGTTTTGAATGTCATGTTATGAATAAACTCAAATTGTGCTATTATAAATATAAAACGCTTTGGAAATATAAACACATACTGACATTGATACTAAATTAATGCTTGTAAACTCATTATTCCTTACACATTTGGATTATGGTGTCACAGTCTATTACAACTTCCTTACAGAGGAAATAAAACAAAAAAATCAGATTTTACAGAATCGTTGCATAAGATTTTGTTATAATAATATAGGTAGAAAAGAACACATCACTGGCTACTATGTGAGAGAAGATATTTTAAAATATAACTACCGTTCATTGCTTTTTTATGGTGCTCTATTATAAAAAGTTTTAAGATATAAATCTCCAAATTATCTGTATAATATTTTAGAGAAAAGATCCTCTGTTCGACTTGTTTTTCTAAGAAACGATAAATAATTGTTATAATATCCCAGGCCATGTAACATCTAAATTCAAAACAGCTTTCACTTACACAGCACCTTATTTGTTGAATAAATATTTAGAACTTTTCCAAATTTCTTCCAGTAGTAGTTTCAGAAATGAATTCAAGAAGGTGCTTCTCCAGTTACAAGCTTCTGAAGCTGAAGATTAGGAACTTACGATTCAATATTGTATTTTATTTAAAATGGTAGCTCAATTTTATAGATTACATTAAATATGTAAAATTAGAGATAAGATGAATCGCATGTTTTTTAATTGTTTTAATTTACTGAATCTCTCTGTAATTGCTGTAGGCGACGGTGAAAAATGGCAATGCCAATCCTCAGCCTTTTGGAGTGTTTTTTTTAATGTATATATATTCATTTTGTATAAGTGCTCCAATAAACATTATTATTATTAAAATTATTATTATAATATTTACTATAATAAAATTGCTTCAAAACTTAGTAGCATTTTTTCAGGGTAAGTGAAACATGTTTCTTGAAGCGCAGATGACAGTCAAAAGTGAACCCTAAATTTTTAGCTGTATCCATCAATGTTGATACTCAGTTAGGTTTTCACGGCTATTGTTGGAACAAAAAACAACAACCGAAAATTTAGAAGAATTTAATTTCAAAGTATTATTTTTGAAGGTTCGGACACCCTGTAAGGAATAAACTCGTAGAAAGTCTATTCCTTAAGAACCAAATGAACAAAGTATGCATTTTCTCTTCTAGGTCTTTTCATTTTCCAGTATGTTAACAATGCACAAATAGCCTCTTCCACATAGATTCTCGTTGACTAAACTTAATACCTGATGCCAAATTACATTAATCAGTTTGGACTGTAGGCCAAAAAAAGCTATTTCAAAATTATATCCAGGGATATGTATGTACTATGTACTATTCCAGACCATATCTCTGTACACTGTACCAAATTTCATTTCATTTTGACGTGATTAAGTAACAAACATCCACATTTATAATATTAAGTAGGGCGTAAAAATATACCCAGCATTATTTATTGAATTTTGATACAAACTTGTAAACAAATTTGCTTTCATGAAAGTTTACGCTGATAATATGTTGAAGGCATTATTTTTTATTTTTAAACTTCAACACCCCGTATCTTTTTAATGAAGTCCTCGAGGAAAAAATATTACATAAAAGACCCCTCTTAAAATGCCGTCCTGTGTATAATGTTTCATTTTTGGTCACGACTTGTGAATCACCTTGTATGTGTATTTATTCCTGTATATCTTGACATGTTTAATAACATGTGTGTATGATCAAAAGACAAAACTACTGCTACCTACTACTACAGCAAGTTGAAATGACCCACCATGTCCGTGTTCTTACGAGTGAGAAATAAAAATTATAAAAAATAGTCAGTCAATGTTGCACTGAATATCTATCGATTGTTAAGAAATAAAAATCTTGTAGCAATTGCAATTTCAAAAACTGAGTGACGACGTTGCATAGGCAAACCAACGGAAAATCCAATTGGTAGTAAAAGGAAAAGAAAGAACAAAATTATACATACCAAAGTTTCCCTGAGATAATTCAGATCTTTTTCTGAACTAAGTTCTGGAAGCCCCGTCGATATCATCATGGCAAACAATGAGATTATCAGATTGCCATGTTTCCTTAGTATCATGAAAGCCTGAAGAAAGAGCAGTGTAAAAACTTACGGCTTACCTAGATATACAACTGCTTACCTTTTCACAATAACCTTGGAAAATTTTAAATTCTAACGCCTTCGAGTTTTGGCCTTTATTGATAACATACACGAAATCGTGGGTTAGAACAAATGGTACTCGTTCTCTTTTAAAGCCAAACTTTTCTTTGAAATGACCCAAAATGTGGCCGAAATCGATGTGGAAAAGCTGAAAAAAAAACATACAGCGCTTTTCAGAAAGTTTCACCCCCTACTTATTTTTTAGACGGGTCAAGTTAGCGAGTTGAAATTCGGGAAGATTAAATTAACGCATCATGTATACTATATTTTAACGTGGGCACCAGCTTAAGATATTCCTTTAAATGGAATAGGCGGTCATGTGATATCTCATTTTGATGCTTCTTATTATTAGGTTGCTCGGAAAGCTCTTGAGGTTTTTATTTTTAAATAGCGTTTTTCGCTCCGCCTAGTCGTTGTATTCGTTTTGCTTAACGATAATTTGTTTTTTTTTGTCAGGATTTCAAATATAGGATGGGCAAAAGGCAAATTCGCACGATTTTCTTATCCCAGTTCAAATTAGGCTAAAAAGATGCCAAGACAGCTCGCGATATCAACGATGCATTTGGCCAAGGAACCACTGACGAACGTACGGCACAATGGTGGTTCAAGAAACAACTATTCATGAGTTTGCCGAGGAGCTTGATGTGGGTATTGCGACCATTTCCGACCACTTGAAACAGATAGGAAAGTCAAAAAATCTCGATACATGGATACCGAACGAATTGATCGAAAATCAGAAAAAGTGTCGTTTTGAGGTGGTTTCTGCCCTTCTTCTGCGCAACAAAAACGACTCGACCGGATTGTGGTATGTGATGAAAAGTGGATTCTCTACGATAATAGGTGACGTACTGCGCAATGGTTGGACAGCGACGAGGCTCCACAATACTTCCCGAAGCCGAAACTCCATCCAAAGAAGGTTATGGTCCAGCAAATCGACGAAAAACATCATAAGCTCCGACGATGTGCCCAAGGGTGGCCAATATGAAGGGGCTAATTCTCATCCACGACAACGCCCAGCCTCACGACGCACAACCGACCCTGCAAAAGCTGAACGAACTGGGCTATGAAACTCTGCCTCATCGAATATATACGCCGGACTTTTTCAAACACCTCTACAACTTCGTTCGCGAGAAATGCTTCAATAACCATGACGATGCCAAAAATGAACTCTTCGCCTCCAGAACTCCGGATTTCTACGTTAGCGGCATAAATAAACTTATCTCTCTTTGGCAAAACTACTGATTCTGATGGTTTTTATTTTGATTAATAATGTTTTGTTAAAGCTGAGATATGCCCCTTTGAATTTGGAAGTTAAAAACCGCAAGAACTTTCCGAACAACCTTGCCCCTTTGAATTTGGAAGTTAAAAACCGCAAGAACTTTTCGAACAACCTAATACTTTATAAACCTGCAGAATAAATTTACTATCTTTCGGAATAGTGAACTGGCGATTTTGTACATTGAATCGCTTGTAACTCAACAAATAGTCGTCAAAAGTATGTTATATCAATCAGTCTTTCTGATTGTGAAATAAAATAAGGGACATTCCGTTTGGAAAAATTGAAATTTTTACCATTTTTTTTTTAATGGAATATCCCATATCCTACTACATATTCGGATAGATCCTTTGGAGAGAAAACCATTGATATAACACACTATAGCGTTGTTATGATTGAGTGTTGAGATATAAACGAATCAACGCATAAAAATGCTCAACTTTGACAGACTGTCAGTCCGCCATTTTGAATGATGGTGATTTTATATTCTGGAGTTATAAAATATTCATAAACAGCTTTCAAATGAGGTGCATCACACTCCATTTAAAAAATGTTCCAAAAAACGTAATAAAGGGTGTTCAGACCACGCTCTTTAGACGTCATGGGGCAGTATTCAAATAAGCAACATTTAATTATTGTGAAAGTTCACTACAAAAATGGAGAAAATTCCGCGAAAATAGTTTGCATATTACGTACAATTTTCGGTCGCAAAAATGAATCGATAGTTCGCCGTTTAATTAAAATTTGAGACAAAATTCACGTTGCTGAATGTGAAGACCACTGTTCGTCGCCTTGCTGGTCGGTCCCTCGAAAATATAGTCGCAGTGCGGGAAAGTGTAGCCGAGAATCCAGGCACTTCCATTCTGCAACGAATTTTGACAAAAGATCTGTGCTTGAATGCGTTGATTGGGCACCGGAGCACCACCAAATTGATGCGGATTTCTCGAAGAAAATCATTTTCTCGGATGAGGCACATTTTCAACTGAACGGGTACGTCAATAAGCAGAACTGCCGAATTTGGGGTTCTGAAAACCCTCGTATAATAATCGAACAACCAATGCATCCACCGCGAGTTACCGTTTGGTGCGCATTGTGGAGTGGCGGAGTGATTGTACCGTATTTCTTCGAAAATGCAGCTGGAACTGCGGAAACTGTTAATGGTGTGCGGTATCGCGAAATGCTAACAGAGTTTTTGTGGCCGCAGTTGGATCGAATTGATGTGGAGGATATGTTCTTCCAGCAAGACGGTGCGACCTTCCACACAGCACGCGAAACAATAGTGTTACTGCGGTCCAAGTTTCCAGACCGTGTCATCTGTCGGTTTGGCGATCAAGATTGGCCACCAAGATCGTGCGATCTAATGCCAATGGACTTCTTCCTCTAAGGCTTTGTGAAGGGAAAGGTGTGTGGGAACAAGCCACAAACAGTTGAACGCCTTAAAGCAGAGATACGGCCCGTTATCGAGAAACTAGAGCCACAGTTGTGCGAAAACGTTATCCAGAATTTTAAGAAAAGACCAGTGCCAGAGGATTCGTGATGGCTATTTACCGGATGTCCTATTTCATATTTAATCGCAACTATTCCTCTTCATGTTATAATATAAATACTCGCTTAATTGGAAAAGAAATTTTGTCTTTTTTGAAAATCAAATCTGGCGCTCTTATTGAGACACCCTTTGTAACTTTTGTTCGTCCAACCACAGACGGCCAACTATGGACTAGTGTTTCATGCTATTTGGCAGCTAATTTGTATGGTCTAGGCTTGTATTATCTTATTTTACTGGCTCTAGGCTTAAATATATTTCTGCACCATTTTTATCATTCCAAATTAAAATTCGCTAGCTTGACCCATTCAAACAATATGTAAGTTGGGAGACCTTATTGAAAAGCACTGAGCAATAAAAATTATGATATAGGTGCTCTGCAGCTGTAATTGTGATCGAATAGTACAAGTTATTGTACAAGTTTCTGGCTAAAAAACTTTTGCAGCAAATTGTAAGGAATGTGAAAATTTGCATTTGCGTTTTCAGGATAGTGTCCCTACTAATCAGATGAGATTACTTTTGAGATGCTATACAATACATCAAATGATTACCTGTCCATTTTTCTTAACCATTATATTGTCAGAATGTCTATCTGCAATGCCTAAGACGTATGTAGCAACACAGTATCCAGCACAAGACAGCGTGAATTCATTTACTGCCTTGTTCAATGCTGCTTCGGTTGTGTTGTAGTCTTTAAGCCAGGCTGAAAACAAAGAAGTATGTGAAAAAATAGAACTAACTTCACTATTAGGGCGTTACTTTATAATACGCCGTAATCATTAGGGCGCATTTCTAAACCTAATTTAAGTAGGAAAGCTCCTATAAACAAGTGTCCAAAAAGTCTAACTTTCATGGTACAGGATTGTTATTAATACCACTAAGATCCTTGTGCCAATTATGTTGAACTTTGGCAGTACTGTTCAGTAATATAAAACGTAAACTAAGTACAAAGTAAAAAATAATAACGAATTCCAGTGGCGTGTCGAGGGGGGTCTGTCCCACGAATGATTTTGACGCAAAAGGTTCGCCGCTGAATTTTTTTAAAAATATATTCGTCTTTCGGATTAAGCAGCTAAAGACAACTTTTTGTCCCTCTTTTGGTAACGTACTTTGATTGTGAGTAAAAAAATTAAAACACATGTCGAAAAATTATTAAAATATGTTACTCTAGAATTATGAACATATTTTTGACATACTGTGGCAGTATCTATTAATTTTTCTCTTTCAGAAGCCATATTTTGTTTAATCCGTATCTTGGAAACCAGACTTTCAAGGACACGTGTTTATATGAACTTGAATTTGGTTCAGGAATGCGCCCTTGTAATTACGGCATATCATTAAGTAACACCCTGTATTTGAAGAAACCTTTTCTCATCGCCCATTAAAGCACTCCGTAGAACTTTTCCGTTAAGGTTTTAGTCGTTGAGGTTAGTTGTAAAAGGAAATAGAAGAAAGGAAAAACAGCGAAGAGAAGTTACATCTTGGCTATATGTGAGTATCCAAGTCTCCGTTTGTAGATTTTGAGAAATACATTTTTAAAGATGACTCACCTAAAATAGGCCCTTTCCTGAACGCTGCTGTCGCTGTGAAAGTACCTTTTTCTTTTTGTATATTGGCGATCGTATCCGCATTTAGCACTACTTCAATCATGCCGACGCGGTTTTCTAACGATATGCAGCCATATGGATTCATTCTGAAAAAAAAGGTTGTTCCAGTTATCTAAGCATTGTTTCCCACTCATTGCTAAAGCGGTAAGTCATCTATTTTACCTTAAGTCTAAACCTTCTCTTTTCCACAACCTATCCATGATTTTGATCATTTGCAATGTAAGCATGTCCTGTCTGAGATCGTCACCGTTCTTGAAGATTATGTATACGTCATCACCGTAAGTGTCCGAATTTTCAAAAACGATCCATAGGGGTCGCATTTTACTGTCCATCACTCGACACTTCTCCAACCTGAAAAATAATAATCTCTTGAAGAAATAGTAAATTATAGTGTACAAAAATTTAAAAAAGCTTATACTAGCAAATCGAACTAAAAAGTTAAAAATACTTTTCAAGTATAGATGAGCGCTTACGTTACTAAAATGCAAGTATAACTAATTAATTTGGAATAAGATCAATATAAAAATTCAGATATTAACAAAATATCCGACTATAGTAAAGAAGCGTGTAGTGCTTGATATTAAATGTTATAATTATTTTTTTTAGTTGCAATTTACAAATTTTAAGTTATTATGAAAATATAGTTAATTGCACCCCACACTTTTTTACTATAATTGAATTTTTGTTAATATCTTAATTTTTATATTGATCTTATATATAGTACTTGATTTTTGGACTTTCTACTGTAGTAAGTTAGTTCGATTTGTTATTACTGCGTGTTTTTTTAGTTTTTTCAACTATAATTTCTTTTCTGAATTTTTACTATCAAAGCGAGGATCAAAAGTACTTATAATAAAGATTTTTGGTATATTTTGTATTTGACAATAAATCTAAAGGAGGTGGTTTGATAAGGGCCATTTTTCGCCCATAACACACTCAAAAATAAAAAGTTCGATTCCAGACTATTATTTAATTTATTTGTGATCTTCAAGATGTGTATTTTTTCATTAAATAATATTTACGGTATAAATATTGTAATACGCTTCAGAAATAGAGTATTTAACGCTTTTTGTGCATTTTTGTTGTTTGTCTTTGAATCATGTTTCCCAACGAAACGTTCCATGAACCACATTAACTTTAATACTCAATGAGTCTACTTATTATAAGCTTGTATATGAGTATTTATTTGTTTTGGTACAGTGAGCCCATCAATCCAAAAATACGTAATATATGCTGCGGGAAAGTGTGGGTCACGCTGCAATCGCTGCGTGTTCACGACATGATTTTTCGCGCTCGAAAAGTATTTACGCAGTAAAGGTATAGAAAATGCGCTGTGCTGTCGCGTTTAACGTTTATTGAAAAACTTGATAAAACAATAATGCCTGGATGCCAGTGTGATTGTTGTAAAACGTGGCGAAAAACAAACAGTGATTTCCGTAGCTGCTCGAACAAAAACATTATAGCAATACTTAGAAAATCTAAAAACTGTGATCTGCAGATTGGTTTAAGTTGTATCCTAAATGCAGATCATATGCATTCCGCGTGGCTCAATCTCTAAAGACTCCCACTTCTGTAAGGACAACAAGAGTTCTTACTTCAACAAGTACCTCTGATGATACTGAAGGATGGTCTGATAGTGATTCGAATGGAGAAGACAACGAAGAAGATTAGTAAAAAATATATTCAGTGTATGAAAACTTATTATTGTTTAATAAACATTTATAACACTCAGATAATTATTTAATTTATGTATATCACGAATTTGTTTTCATTTGAAATAAGTATATTTTCTTCTTTGTTATGGAGAATACCCTTCATAAATATATACAGGGTGACTTCGAAGTTGAGTCATTTATTTTAACAGTGAGTAGATCTGATCAAAAGAAATGTTTTTTCCTTTACCATTTTTCTGGTAAAATTAAAGTAACAAAGTTATAGCCCTTTGGAAGTTTGAGTACCGCCCTGACTCAATAATAATATTATGTGCTCGTGTTTGGCAACAACGGATATAATCCGCCTTATCCGTTCATCGCATCGGAAACAAAAAAGCGAAAGAATTTGGAACGATGTTTTTACAATTATTTTATTCAGTTGTATACAGTCAGTGTCAGTCGGTAACGCGTGAGTGAATAGTGGTGTCTGTTGCGTGGCTTAAACGAAATAAAAAATGGCACATGTTTACGAAAATGCTGAACTTGTGGACATGGTTCTTATTTACGGGGGTCTTTACAAAATGCTGCCGCGGCATCACGGATCTATGCGGATCGGTTTCCCAATCGAGTGCAACCAACCCCTCGTGCCTTTGTTAATGTAGTGCAAAGAGCTCGTGAATCAGGTGACTGAAGACCTCACAGAGGAGATCATGCCGGTGCTCCAAGACCGCACGATCAAATAGAACTAGAACAAATTTTAGAACTAGTAAATGATATCCAACAGTAAGCACCCGACAAATTTCAACTCAATTGGCAATTAGTCAATATAAAACTTGGAAAACTCTACGTGAAAATCAGTTCTATCCGTTTCACAAACAAAAAGTGCAGGCCTTACAACCGGAAGATCATGAACAAAGGGTTGACTTTTGCAATTGGCTTTTAAATAAACATCAAAATGATGACAATTTTTTAAATCAAATTTTCGTGAGTGATGAAGCCCTCTTTACTAGAAACGGAATTATTAATTCACGTAATTCTCACGTTTGGGCTATTGAAAATCCCAATGAAATAAGGGAAACCAATTTTCAACAGCGATTTGAACCAATCAACCTGTGGGCGGGAATTGTTAATGGAATTTTAGTGGGGCCTTTTGAATTACCAAATCGCTTAACTGGTGAAAATTATCTTGATTTCTTGCAACACAATTTGCCTGGTTTACTGGAAGATGTGCCTTTAAATATTAGAGAAAACATGTGGTTTTTACAAGATGGGGCACCACCTCATTATGCAAGAAATGTGCGTGAATTTTTAAATAGACAATTTAATAATCGTTGGATCGGCCGTGGCGGTTTTGTACCTTGGCCGCCAAGGTCTCCAGACTTAAATCCTTTAGACTTTTGTTTGTGGGGTTGGCTAAAAACTCTAGTGTATAAAACACCGGTTAATACACGCGAAGAATTACGTGCTAGAATTGAGGAAATGAGTACAGTGATCAGAAATTAACCAGTGATTTTATTGCGTGCTTGTAAAGAGACATGGCTAAGACGCGCCCAGCTCTGCGTCGAGCAAAACGGAAATCATTTCGAACAGTTTTTGTGATATGCTTTTGGGCGCACAGGTCCGCACTGAAATACTTGTCGGGAGGATACTTTATAAAACAAGGTAACATTTTTTTTTTATTTTTTTTTTATTTTTACACACATATTTTGGTTTATCTTCCTTCTACAATCATTATCTGAAAATTAATGACTCAACTTCAAAGTATATATATATATATATATATATATATTTGTGTCATATCTATTCGCTGATGGGCGAAAAATGGCTCTTATCAACCCACCTCCTTTACTTCAGTCCTGTTTATGTAATCCTTCCATTTCATATAATGCATCACTATCATCACTCGGCACTTTTCTCACCGTATATTGACTTGAGTGAATTTAAATGTTCTTGTTTTTTTTAATTCCTTTCCAATTTTAAAATTAATTTTTTTCAAAAATTACATTTTGCCCAATTTTTAAATATTTTTTTTTCAAAATTACCACAACTTCCTCAAAATTTCCATATTTTTTCAAATTTTTTAAAAATATCCATATTTTTCAAATTTTTTCAAAACTTCCGAATTTCAAATTATTTTCCAAATTCCCGAATTTTCCAATTCTTTTTCATATCCTCAAATCCCAAATTTCAAAATTTAATTTTTAAAAATGTTCAAATCCGAATTTCGAAAATTTCCAAAATTATTGTATTGTCATCGGCCCTTGACCACTGTGCAAATTTACAAGTTAATCCAACTTCGTGAAAATTCTGAAGATTAGGTTAAAACATTTCGTTACTTAGAGGCCAAGCCAATAAAAGGGTGTAAAAAAAAGTGATTCGCTTATCTGAATACGTGACTGGGTAAATATGAAAACTGTTTGCTATTGTTTCAAAGATGCAGTGACATTAACAAAACCTGAATTCTGGATCCTTGTAGCGACTGTGCTTTACCATTCGCCAAACTAGTTTTCAATACCCGAAACGTGCTTAGCTATGTTGGTATTTTCACAGGAAAATTTAAATTTTCGAGTAATAACAACTAGTTTGGCTAATGTAATAATCATACTAACATCGATATTCACATTTTGAATGTTTGAGACAGTCTGATTCTTCGATGAGAGTTAACATTTGTTAAATTACCAATAGTGGATTCAACTTACTTTATCCTAGTACACCTGTATGATGGATCCAGCAAACTCCTGGTGTCATTCATGATCATTTCCGTTTGCGTTTTACCTAAACACTCTTTCATCGCCACTTTTGCCTAAAATTTTCAACCAATTAAATACCATTGAATCTTCTCAATTAAATATGAATTACCTTTTCTTTATCCCTGGATTGTCTTACAATATCGCTACACTTTTTCAGCTTTTCTAAGCATTCCAGTTGTCGTTGCAGCACCTTCATGTGTTCTTGAGTGCCTCGACAGTATGCTTCCAGGATAAGGCCAAAGCGTACTGATACCGCAGGAACTTGCATCTCCGACCTACAACATATAATCACTTATAATTGTTCAACTGAGGAACATGCACTTCTCATCTAAATGTAGAGATCTAATAGTAAGGTATCTTGATAGCCGGACGCAGTATGTTGTAATTAATAATACTACGTCAAACATTTCGGATGTTAATAAAGGGGCCCTCAAGGATCTGTCCTAGGGCCTCTGCTTTTTGTTTTATTTACTGTAGATCTAGTACAAATATTCAGAATGGCTGCTCTTACCTTAGGTGCCAAAATAAATAATGTCCAATTTGCTGATTACTAAGAGCTCTCCTAATTAGAAAATTAACTAAATCACATTCTAGGTACAGTTCGTGCTTTATAGCTTGTACTAATTGAAGAAGATACAGCAGCAGATCTTCATCACTGAAAAAAAACGCCCATGATTAAAATGCTTAAGGATTGCTTCTAAAAACACTGCGATGATTAAAAAATATCTCGTCAGGAGTAGAATCAGTTTCGAGTTTCGACAATTTTTTTATTAACAAAATTGAGCAAATCGAAATTGATCATTCCAATAAACTGTACGATTTATTTCAGACTTCCAACTAGTTTCAACTATTTCTGCAAGCTTTACGTCATTGGGACAAATTGTAAAGATTTTTGACATGTTATCCACTGAAGCACCGTGACTGCTATAAAGTTCTATCGATAAAGTGTTAAACCCGCTGAAGTAATTAGTAGAATTTGTAGAAAAATAGCAGATTCGATGTGAAACTACATTGTAGTACTTACTACCTTTTGCTCCTTTATATTTCTTATAAACACTCAAAAAACAACAAAAACCACAAAACACCACGGAAACCTACAGAATTTAACTTCAGTGTTAGCGGTTTCCATGACGTGACAAGGTGATTTTTCGAAATTGGAGCAGCATCAGGCTCCGCGCTGCCTACCTTCAACGAAAATGCCATTTTTTTAATGCATTATAAATGTGCTTCTCTTGTAAAAGGATGAATTGAAAAATGTATCAAAATAAATGCTCCAAATCGTAATGCCAAAATAAGATTTCAATATCAATTCAATATAAATATTTAAAAACAAAGTTTCTAAATATACTGTAATTACACAGCGCTTCACTCGCAAAAATCTCCATTACCTCAATTTCTTGTCAAAATATATCGATTTTCGGAATAAACAGACCTTCAAAAAACACAAATACAAACTAAACAGTACCTGAAATAACTCACTCCACAGAGTACCCGGTACCTGGTATTTGAATCTGGTCGAATACCCGGTACTCGACTTTTCGGAGAAAAAGTAATACTTGTGCCTACTATTTTTGCAGATTATTTGACAGATGTGAAAAAAACATGAATGCGCACCTAACGTCTTTAAGACACTCCACGGCGAATTTCCTGACCTCCTGGTCAGCATAAGCGTAATCTAAAAGCTCTAAGGACTTCTCTACAGGCAACTTGGGCCATTGTTGTAACAATGCTACCACTTGGCTAACCTCCTCTCGTTTGTCCCAATCAATACAGTACAACAGTTTCGGAAGTACGGCGGAATCATTCTCTAGCCAGTAACACTTCAATGCCCAAATATTTTTACGATCCTAGAACACAAGAACGATTTGTACATTATATTATATCAACAGCATACATGTTTTCTTTTATTAATAACAAGTGTAAGTTTCGAAAGCTACAGAGTGGCCGATATGTAACTGACTGGTTTGTATCTTGAATATTTGTGAAATGAAATAAAATACGTCAAGTTTTCCATCTTAATATTTTATAGAAACATAGAAATTATGTATGAAAAATATCAGACAAATGTCCGCCTCTGGAAGTCGCGAAAACCTGAGCCCTCATCACTTTTTGATAGGTTTCGGGAGGAATATTTTCAATCGCTTCCGTAATATTGTTCTTCAGCTGTTCTACAGTATTTGGTTTATTAGGAGCCGTTAGACGTCTCAGGGCTCTCCACTACACTTTCACGAACTCTCTAGATATTTTCCGGGGTACGAACAGTTCGAACACGGCCCCTGGCCACATTATTTCGACCAAAATCTTGTCGTAACTTCCGATTCATTGCAACAATCGGCTCACTATTTAAGTAAAACGTTCTAACAATAAGGACGCGTTGTGGAGCGCTCCACGATGAATTTCGCACACGGCGCCACCTACTGAAATTTAAATCAGTCAGTTATATATTTGTACGTTTTCAAAAAGACCCCCTTTAGCTTCTATAACTTTGATAATCATTCTTCAAAAGGAGAAAATTTCAAGTCACCCATCAAGCACTCTTAGAAAGCTTCATAGTGTTTGCGTTTTGAAATTTCAAGGTAATTCAAAAACTATAGGGTCAAATAGGGAACAGTGTACCAAGCGGCACAGTATACCATTAGTTATGTCGTTTCCTATTTCTCTATGGTGTCTCTTTACCGTTTTGCCAATCTCATTAGCTGTCATCTTAGACTACTGTCACCGGACGTCAAACTGCTAAGAACGCTCTAATTTAGGTTTTTTTTACACAAACGTGAAAATTTTTACTACGTTTGTTCTTCTTGGAAACGTAATAATTATGTTCTCTTTAATTCTCAATTAGTTGGTGTTTAAATAGTAAACAAACTTTATTGCAATTCCTAAACAAACAAATATGAACGAATTTTTGTTTGAAATAATAGGGTCTGGGGTACAGTGTAACATGTAATAGTGGGGCCCCTTTAAATATTTTTATTTCTCAGGTGTGGGACAGAAAAAATACTGAGGTACTTTAATCTAGGTTAAGAAAAAATAATATTTTCATATTATAAATTTTTCAATTTGATTTTGATCACCAAGAATATGTCATGGAACTTAATTGAGGTTAAAGATTTTCTATTTTTATATTTTATTTTGTAGGTTTAGCTATTAAACTGTATACCACCCCTAGGGCACCACATTCCTCATTTGTTTTCTCTGAAAACTAAAAAATAAGAACATAGTTTCTAAATGTAATTTTGATACTATTTCAAACCTAATATGAAGGTTAAAGACTGCTGATTTTATGATAAAAAATAATAAGGCGACATAATGAACTGTTTTTTTTTTAGAAATAAATGTGACTTTTTTGTTATACCATCCCCCAACCAAGAAAGTAGATAAGAAACAATTTACAGGAGTAAATCATTTTTAGTTGATTTAAAACTCACCTGGTCATGGGCCTCATACAAGTTGTCCATCTCGGCCAGCAGTCTTTTGCATTGTTGAACATCTGGATATTCCTCCATTTCTTTACCACTTTCAGTCTCATGTGCATGGTTTATCATCATTTCTACTGATGGGTACAAAATTTGCTGATCTGCTGCATAACTTTAAAAAACAAACATTTACACTCTCTTACAATCACACAGCACTGCATAAAATCTCACCTTTTAATCTGCAGGGTTAAAGTAGTAGAATACTCAGTATTAGGATTGCTGACGACAGTCCCCAAAGGATGTAAGGCATCATCTGAGTTCATATCTTCGGCAAAAGCCCACATGTACAGAGTCATAGCCCCACTTTTCAATTGTCCCTTGAAGTCATACACTGACGTATTTGCCCAAGCTAGTGGATTATTGGGCAAATTGTCCTTTCCAGAATCTTTCCCCTTTTTCGTCTTGGTGCCTTTGGCGTATTTGTTGACCTCATACACAACAAAGCACAACTTGGCGTTTCTAGGAATATTGCACACATCTATGTCAAATGTCAAATCGCAGCTCATTTTGCACTCTAGCTTTTCGTCTATAGGAAAATCGGAAGTCTTTTTTGGTTGGCACAGCGACTTGCCGCCGTGAAAAATGCCAGCTTGAATTCCAATCTAAAAATTAAACATGAGAATTTAAAAATTGAGAAAACCACAAAGCCTCCAAAAATATAAATCCATCTACAGTAATGGACAAAAGTATATAGACAAATTAATATCGTGCTGTATTTCTATTTTAACTTGTTTTATTAATACACCATCATGTATACATAATTCGTTATAGCATAATACTCACTTGTACATAAATAAATTCATTACCCTTCAATAAAAAATTAATTGAAAAAACTGGAACTATGAAGGACAAAAATATATAGACAAAGCAAAACAATTATAGAAAAAAGAAGCAAGTTCATTGAATTATAGAAAAACAACGATGTTTGTGTTAATATTTTGTAGCATAACCATTATTAACAATCACCGCCTAGCATCGTCTCGGCATAGATTGTAGAAGTTTCTTGATATACTTTTGCTCTAAACCGGCAAAAAGTTCATCCTTGTTTGAATAATTTTATCTCGTATTTGATTATATAAGTATTCCCATAGATTTTCAATGGGGTTTATATCCGGAGACTGTGAAGGCCATTTGAGAACTGGTATTTTTTCATCCAGAAAGAATTTCTTTGCGAGATTTGAAGTGTGCTTCAGATCATTATCTTGCTGGAAAATTGATCTTAAGGGCATATTGTCTTCCATATAGGGTAACATCACACGCTTTAGTGTGTCGGTGTATACAAACTTATCCATAATGCCATCTATTCTATGTAAAGAACCCATCCCAAACCCCGAAAAGCATCCTCAAACCATAACAGACCCGCCTCCATGTTTGACAGTGGGCAAAGTGTACTTGGGGTTCAATCTTTGTCCACTAAGACATCTAACGTAATGAACACCATCTGATCCAAACATATTGAAGTTGGATTTTCACTGAAACATACCCTCTTCCAGTCACAGATGCTCCAATCAAGATGCAACCGTGCAAATTGTAATCGGTCCTTACGGTTTTTCCTCGGAATTCGCGACTTCAAATCATTTGATCTTCTACTTATACTTTTCGTAAAAACACTGACAATTCCTTTTGACTCGATTTCGGCTTTTATTTGTCTTGGGGTTTTAAACGGATCTTTGGACGAAACTACTTTTATTAATCTAACTGATCTAGCATTTAGTTTGCTAGGCCGACCACTTCTCTTAGAGGCTTCCAAGATACCTTTTTGTTTATATTTGTTTAATATTGCCCAAACTGCTTTATGCTTCAGCTTCAAATTTTTGGCAATATCGATTTGACGTTGACTATCTTTGTATAACTCAATGATCTTAGTTTTCACATCGAAAGAAATTTCTGGACCACGCGGCATGGTCTTAAAATTACTCAACTTATTTCACAATACTTGATGAACACAAATTAATCCATTTCTGACACGAAATTGTACTAAACTAAACAAGTACTTATATTCAGACTTTTTTTATTGTGTTCATTGCAGATAATGTAAAACAAGGAATTTAGCTTTTCTACTAATAAAGCATTTGTTTATGGAGCAATGAAGTATGTATTCGTTTTAGGTAAATATTCATATTTGTCTATACTTTTATCCATTACTGTATATGGGTGATCTTCAAGTTGAAATATTCCTTTACATAACGTATAGTTCTTGTAAAGATGAGCATATTTTCCTAATAGCACATACACTTAAGTCTAGGTGATAAAATACGAAGCGCTTCGGTATTCAATATCTCGTGCAGATAAACAGAGCTGTTCATTTACTAGTAGGATTTGAAAAAGCTGAAAATGACAAACTTCAATAGCAATAACGAATTTATGGCTTCTCAAAAGGCCCCAAGTAGGTTGAGTCTGCACTTCCCACACAAGGCCGTCATCAGATCATGAAGGATCATGTTCAGCGCAAGTTAGACCCTATCTAAATAAGGCATTGCCATAGATCTCATATCCTCGATAGAGGATAGTTGTTATGCTTTCGTTCGTTGTCCCAGAGACCAATGCCACGATGAGTTACCAAAAAAGCACAAAACAGCTATACAAAGTCGGCTGTTTTTGGTCGAACAGACCAAGTTAGACCCTCTGAGAAAAACATTAGTTACGAACTTGCATAACAGAGAAATAACACGGATCAAGTCAGTCAAATATGCCCATACAATTCTGGTAACGTCGTCTCTCCGCAATACCTGATCGCACAATGCGTCAGCAAAGCGCCAGTCATGCCAGGACACTTATGAAGACCGGAGACAGTAAGGAGAGACGCGTATCGAAAACATTAGCTAAATATGTCTAATAGGTACGCAGAATTACCGAAGTTGGGAGCGAATAAATATATTAAGAGATTCCTTCCACCACAACTTACATTCCCCAATGTTTAACCCCACAAACATTTTTCTAAAAATGATCAGGAGTCTCCGAAACGTCAAAAATGAGTTTGCGTAATTTTTATTTTTTTCCAAGTGACAGACGGGCCAAAGAGTAGCGGTTGGGCCGACAGGCAGACCCAGGGAAATGAGTGACACAGTTTTACGTGATGTAAATGTAATGCAACATCCAAAAAACATAACATCTCACTTTCCAAATCCTTCGTGATTGCAATACTTCCTCGCCAATAGACGTGGGAAGTAAAAAAAAGTCCCAGATTTCAAAACCTGTATAAGTGAAAGGTTATAATATTATCGAAGTTTGGCTTACCTCAGAACCCTTCTTAGGCTCCAAATTGAGTTTGCTAACAACAGAAACCGTCACTACATAATTCTCCTTGATGTTCCAAGAACATATGATATTCTTTTTCTTTCTCAAGGTATTTGAGCTACTGTATGACGTCGTCCGCGTCTTTGAACTGTCAAAATGATCCAGGCATTCGTAGTCGTTCATTTTGAACACTAAAATTTGAAAGAAGGCGATGATTAAGCATTTTAAACAACTCAACAATATTAGATCGATGATGAAAATAATGATCTACTAAATATTGTTCCATCATTTTACCTGGCACATCGTCTACATGATACGTGACCAAAGTCGGTGTAACTCCTTTCGAAATACATTCCTGTATATACTGGAACTCGATAATGTGGAAGTCACCAACTAAGAACTCATCCTGGCCACATACTTTTAATATGTACTCACTAGCCCTGTCAGTACGAATGTTCATTATGGTAGCTCTTTTAGCCAAGATCATTTCCAATAACTCCCTTGGAGAAATGGTGGGTGAGACATTGAACGTAAAAGAGCTTTGCATTATGTCATACACACTGCACTCATGGTCAAATTTTGATGCAATCTACAACCATAAAAAATATAGCAATTCCATTAATGTTAAATATATAACATACCTTGATATTTTTCTTCTCATTCAATGTTTCTTTCAAAATGTAGCTATGCTTGGCTATCCTAGGCGGAAACTGATAATGTAGCTTCTCTAGCCAAGTTTGCTTTGAGCGTATCTGAGCTATTTCATCGCCTAACTTGCGCATTTTGAAGCGAAAGTCATTTATCTCACTGCTATTCAAAGCATCAAACTCTTGAAGTCCTAGAGGTAAAAGATTCTGTCTGATAACCACTGAACAAATGTTTATTAAGATTTCTTTGTCCACTATAATATATATTAGGATCATACTTCAAGTGTTTAATTCATCCCTGACCTTTATGATCGGTTGGTCTGTAATATACTGCCATGCAAAAGCGTTTGACATATGATGCTGGTAAGATTCTGCTAGAATTGTAACACATTAAAGAAAAGTGGATGTTGCCACGTATGATCCTAGTATGATAATATAGTGTAGTGGGCAAAAAGTTAGAACTGAATCTGCGCAATCCAAATACTGACCAAAAGCACCTTCAGATATTGTTAACTTACGTTTCCCAATCAGATGTCCAATAGTGATATTGATGGAGTCATCAGCCTTTTCTCCCCTACACTCAGTAACAATTAGAGTTACTCCTATTGGTCGGATATCACAAAGCCTCTTTGACTCATCTGTCAACTTTTCTTTCTCTGCCATAGAGTTGACATAGGTGAAAATATAGACAGACATGTCGTGTAGTTTTCCATATAGAGGGTACTTAGTTGCCTCTTCCCATAGATCCTGAGTAAGATGAACATAAAAATCCGATACTAATTATGTTTTTATGGCATTTGGTACTCATATCCACGTTTAGACCAAAGGCCAACAAACAATCATGGTATGGAAAGGGAAAAAATATAGAATTATCGGTAAACTGAAACACAAGTTAAACGTCTAACATTGAAAAAACTTGAAAACAATTTTATAGTTGTGTTATTTTGTGCTCTAAATGATACTATGAGATTCTTCAAATTTGGCAGTCACATATCAATGTTGTACAAAATAAGTAACACATTGACTAACTATACCATGGGTGGAACTTTGATTTCCCAGCAATGCGTAGAGCAAACTGAACTTTATCAGTGCTACCGTTCGCTTTTGTACACATGAAATCTTATCAGAAGACCATTGTTTCTGCTCACTTTCTGGAAATACTCACATAAATTTAGCACAAAATGTGATCATTGTTCACTAGACGTAATTTCAAGCATTGCTACATTCACATCAGAAATCAACAAAATTCAAATCAAAAATGCCCATGACAAGTGAGATGACATACTGACAGTGACTAGCATAATTGTAGAGTACTCATACATAATGAGATAATTTTTTAAACAGTGAAACTAAAAATATACATCTCTGAGATTACACAAAGAATGCTGAGACAAAGAGGTAGATTGCATGTGTATGTGTGAGGAAGATAGGGTTAAGGAACACACTAGTAGTTTGGCTGTGACACATTGAAATCAATGCAAATAACTACGGAATTGCTGTTGTTGTGTAGGGAAGTTTAAAAAAAAATAATGGAGGTTTCATACTATACTGCTCCCACAACTTAGCAAACTTGGAATTTGGAATGAGACATCTTTCAACACTTAGATACATTGTCTGATGCATACTGAACATCAAGTGGCCCATAAATCAAACCTGAATTATTAGATTTTGGATTTTTGTCGATAGATGCATGATAGATATTTAAAAATGCAAGTAAGAAATACTGTATAGATAGCTATTTTATAAACTTTATCTAGTGGACTATCTGTACATGAATCTTGGACCTCGCGCCACGCCATATTACCCCCAAATGCCACGGTTTTTAAACTCAAAGAAGAACGTAGAAATTTAAACCATCAAATTTTCCATATTTGTGCACCTCAGATTTAAGGAAATTGATAAATAATCGAAAAATTGCACTTATAGATATAAGATTACCAATGGTGTTTTATAAGATATATGTTTGAGCTATAATGAAAACATTAATATGGTGTATTTCTGGAAATACAACAAAAAACAAAATGACTCTCACAAATTACCATTTACTATACAAACTATTAATATTTCTCAATGATATATTCAAATTAATCAAGTTACAAATTATACATATAAAAGGAATCGTATTGGAGGAATAATATGCTCAAATATTGAAAAATTAGAATCTGATTTTTTGGCTATGAATTTATACAACATTATAACAGCAATAGACACATGTTTACATGATCATTTAGAACAACATTCCTATTGCTTTGATGCTCAGAATTTATTACTAAACTGTAATAATGAAATGGCTAAGATCATATTTAAAAAGGAAGCAGGTGTATTTCTGAAAAAGTGCATTTCATATTTGGAAAAGTGGTTTGACTTTGATAATCATGAATACAAAAATCTTTCTTTATCTAATTTAAATCCAGTTTCAAGTTTTGATGACTTCCAAAGAGTAATAAATGAATTATTGAATTATATAATTTTCTTTACAACGTTCAAATTCAGATTCTGAAAGGATTTTTGGTTTAATGTTTAATGCTTGGTGTAAATATAGAATCAAAGCAGTAATAAGAACTGTATATGATTGTTGCTAAAAATAAAATAATCCAAGAAGATTTCTTAAAAGAATAGTATATAAGGCTTTATTTTGTTTTCTCACTTTATTTTGATATTTTACATATAATATGGAATGTTTGCTTTTTCATGTCATTTTCTGACTTTTTTCATTTGTTAGGCAAAAATCCTGGGTGACATTGTTTTTGTAACAGTGTATCTTAATATATTTATGTTTATGTCTATTACTCTCCATCATTGTTGTTGCCCCATACAAATGAACCTGGGAACTGCTTCTTTTGATCATACACTACCACTCAAAAGTTTTGGGACAGCAGAATTTTTGAGGGAAATCAAACCAAATCAAACAATAGAGTGTGTTATCAAAAAAATGAGAAAGGAACTATTTTCCACTAAAACTCAGTTAGTTGGTAACTTAATTCTATAAAAATTTACTTTAAATTCGTGATTCATCGAAATGTCCACCACGAGCACGAATAACTGCAAGACAGACACGGCATAGCTCAAGGTCGTTGTCTTGTTGAAATTCGAAATTGTTCCCAAGAATCCATTGTCCTGAGGGAACAGCGTGGTTTTCCAATATTTGCAAATTCTGCTCTTTTCGCATTATACCCTCAATACGAACCAAATCTCCTGTTCGATTTCCAGCAAAACAGCCCCAAACCATTACACCCACTTTCATGTTTGACAGTGGGCTGCAAACATTGAGGAGCCATGCGTTTATGGGATTAGCGGCGTACAAACTGTTGTCGTCGAGATCCGAACATTTCGAATTTGGATTCATCCGACCAAAGGACTCGATTCCAACTGCCAGTGGTCCAACCCTTGTCCTTTCGAGGCCATGCTAACCAATTGAGTTTATGTATAGGTCGCAGTAGTGGCTTGCATACTGCTACACATCCTCTAAGGTTAGCCCTTTGTAAGCCGCGTTTTACCGTGGACACCGAAACAGGGCTTTCCCTCGTTCTGTTCAAGCTGTGTGTGTGGTCAGGCAAAGTTAAATGTCTATTTCGCTTATTTGTTATTACTATAAACCTATCCTGAGGAACAGTTGTAACTCTGCGTCTTCCAGAACGTGGATGATCTAAGACATTGCCTGTTTCTCTTTTTTTCTTTTTGCGACACAATGTTCGGTCCTAAATGCAGCTTTTCAGCAATCGCTCGAATTTGCAATCCCTCATCACATAAGGTACATACTGCACCCCGTTTTTCAAGAAAAACGTTACCAGTCTTTACCATTTTCCATTAGTTTGAAAAAATCTGACCCTAGCACATCGACTAGTAGTTTATACTATACTACATACAATTTTTACTTTGTTTTATTGATACCCAGAGTGTTTATGTATCACATTATGCTGAACATAATACATAGTACAAAAAAAGGTAAGCAGCAGAAGGAATTTGGCTGATTTATGACTGCAATGAGCTGATAAAAATATCAACGTCTCTAAAGATGTTTACATTTATTCCCTTTCAAGTGATGTTTCACTGATTCTTATACATCTTTAGCTTGAGTAGTCGTATTATAGATGGTAATAAACAATCAATGTCATATAAGCTTTATTTATTTTAAGTTCTCTTAAAAAAAGTTACTGTCCCAAAATATTTGAGTAGTAGTTTACATTTCCAATGCTCCAACAGTTGTTTGTGTGGAAGTGCAATATTAGGCAGTGTTTAAAGGAGTAAAGGTTAATCTCAGTTATATATATCATAAATAATAGAACAATGTATTTGCTGCACTAAAAACAATGAGATGCCAGGGGAACATTACTTGACTATGAAAACCTGTTTTATAAGTTTTGTACTAAATAATGATGAAAACAACTCGTGCATCTCACTCTCACATAAAAATGTATTCCTATATAAGTGAAATGACAAACTGCTTTTAAATACGGTTCATTGAATACCTCTTGAAACATTCTTATCAAAATAATTTCATACAGCACATAAACCATGACAATAAGACATTTGTGGGCAATAAACAATACTCTCGTCTCATCAAAATAAAGCATTTGAATACTTACCTCTTTGATTTCAGCAAGGGTAGCATTGCTATTAACTGTAAGCAATACAATGATTCCATTGGGCAAGAGACAAGTAACCTCTACTGGCCTATCAGGCGGGGCAGTGTCCCAGAAGTCGAACTGATACTCTGCAGGAATTGGAGCCATCCTTACTCTATTTTCTGGAAGCTCTACCCAAACATTATCCAAAGCAGCAGTATTTTGTAGAACCTAGACGAGTGCACTTAGTCGCAGTAACATACAGTATGGAGTCGTTTCCTTTATGCTCCTATTCGCACACTTTGTAAATATTCACAAGAAAATATATTCTGGAAATGATCAACAGACGAAAATATATCAGAAAATATCACTGTGTTATTGACACTCGCTATTCTCATTACTCCCATAAAAACAACAGTGTCTCCAGTAGAAGCCCGATAAATATCCCTAGAGTTAGGTTTTTTCTTCAAATAAAATATTTAGGAACATTGTATAGTCTGTTGGTAGCAGTTACACTCGACATTTCATAGCCGTGGATGACGTGTGGTGTGATTCCTGGAAAAGCTCCCGAAAGAAGAAAAAGTGGCCAAAGGTAATGTAAAATGTTTAAAAGTGAAAAACCATCAGTTAGATTGCCGCGGCTATATAAGATAGCAGCATTAATAGCAAAAGAATACAGCGAAGGGCTAGGCAGCATTAAACAGTTGGTTTATGAAAAACGAAAGAAACACCCTGTGAGTAGATTGAGGTTAGGTAACTGTCACATTGTTTTAAAACATCGTTTATAATCTGTAACAGGCATTTGAGCTAGTATAGAATCATTCAAGACGATCAATATGCAATTTTGAAATGATAATGAACAATTATTCGTGAATAACAGGAAGTTTATTACGAAACAATACGTTAGTGCCAGTAGCGTGGCAATCAGTTTCCTAAAAGGGGACATGCTCATATGTTGGTATTGTACAGGGTGGGGCAAAAGTCGCGAAGGGATTTGAAAAGTTAATAACTTTTTTAAATTTACTTTGTTTTCTTTTTTTTCCCAGGACTGTGAAAAATAAATCCGGGAGATTAATTATGGAGCGTTACAACCTTAATCAACGAACCAAACGTATAGAATTTTATTTTGAATATCATCATTCAATAATTCAAACTCAACGAGCATATCGTCGTCATTTCAATTTGCGGAATTCGCCCTCTGAATCAATGATTCGACGCTTAGTGGCACGATTTCAGCAACAAGGCACAGTTATGGATCTCCCACGAAGCGGAAGGCCACGTTTCGCAAGAAATGAAGAGAACATTCAACGCGTTCAGGAGAGCGCTCAGGAGAATCCGGAAACCTCAACCCGAAGACGTTCTGCTGAGCTGCAAATGTCTCGAAGGTCTTTACGCAGAATATTAAGAGGAAATTTACATCTGTTTCCATATAAAGTGCAACTAGTGCAAGAACTAAAACCAGGAGATTTCCAAGAACGACTAGCTTATGCAGTTCGCTTGCAAAGAATGGCTCGAGAAGAGAATTAATTTATTTATTCTCTGATCATGAGCGATGAAGCCCATTTTCATTTGAATGGCTTTCTAAATAAGCAGAACTGCAGAATACGGGTTACCGAGAACCCAAGAGTGGTTCATCAAAGGCAATTACATCCGCTTAAAAGTACAGTATGTGCGCAGTTACGTCTCAACGAATTATTGGACCATTCTTCTTCGAAGACCACGATGGGAATACTGTATCTGTAGATGGCGAGCGATATCGGGATATGATTCAAAATTTCTTAAGACCAGCTCTTGCTGACAATCAAGCGATGAGGTTCCACTGCGCATACTACTCGAGCCACTGTGCACCTTCTGAGGCAGATTTTTGGCGAACGTTTAATTTTGAGAAATTCAGGATTCAATTGGCCCGCCCGTTCGCCGGACTTAACAGCCCCTGATTATTTCCTTTGGCGATATCTGAAAGGAAAGGTGTATGTTAATAAACCCACAACCCTGCAGCAACTAAAGGATAATATTCGAGCAGAAGTAAGTGCTTTGGGGCCAGATACTCTGACTCGAGTCATGGAAAATGCTCTTGCAAGAGCTGCACTTTGCGAGGCTGAAAATGGCGGTCATTTGCGTGATGTAATCTTTCACACTTAACTTGTAAACAAACTCCAAATATTGCATTTTAGTTTTGTGTAAGGAAAAAAATTAAAATTGCAATTTAAAAAAGTTATTAATTTTTCAAATCCCTTCGCGACTTTTGCCCCACCCTGTAGTTTTACACTTTTATAGAGCGACACTCTGTGTACAAAATGATATTGAAGCCATCATGTTTAGGTAAAATCGTGAGAGATACAAATAACTCAATGGTTTAGGTTTCGCTTTGAGATCTAAAATGCTTGTATTTATAAAATTCAATTCTTGTTGATTCAAATGCCGCCAAGTTTAGAGTAGTACCTTTTTGACTCAAAAATATAAACTGCATATTCTAAATTTTCAGCGCATTAAATCTTTGTTTGCCTTGGTATCTGTTCTATACCAACGAAAGGATGAAATAGAGCACTTGCTCAAAAAAACCCAATTGTTAGACAAGGAATCAAGAATTGATCCATGGGTGATCAAAATTCTTGTGACAGAATTGCTTTATGGCAAAAAAACATTATCTGGCCAGACCAGAATTGAGCAGACAATCAAGGGGTATGAGCAAATGTTTAAAGCCCATCTCAGTGATGTGATTGAGGCCCCTGTCAAAGGTAACACAGGTCAAGGGTGTATACCAGGCTTGGAAAATGTTTCTTATGCCATAATGTATATTGCTGCTGAAATATAAGCTAAATTACAAGGTAACAGTATGTTACTAAGGTTCCCATGAAAGAAGTGTTAAGGCCTCAACCTATTCTATTATTTACTGTACTTATTAAGTACACAGGATAAGCTGTTAATCTCTCAGATGCATATAGATCATTAAAATACCATGCTACCCCACAGATATAAATCCCATAAAGACACTTTTGGAAATAATTTTTTCTGTGACAACTTTTGATTGAAGCTAAGGCCCGTATCGTCAGTTGTCCGTACAATTCTAGGGCGCCTTTATGGCCTCCTCGATTGTGATAATTTTCTGCTTCTCTGTGTCAGAACTCTATTTTGAGGTTATGTCACACACATCTATTTGCATCAAATTGTGCTTGCTTTTGAGTTATATCATGTTTTATCAGCCTGAAATTTCCTACAATTTAAAAAGAAAACATATCTTCACAATAGGAGAGCGCTGACGCTGACACGGGACAAGTGTGATCTAGAAATTTTTGAAGGAGAGAAAGGAGGCTGACAATCAAGGAGGCCATAAACGCGCCCTACAATTGTAGGGACGACTGACGATACGGGCCTAAGTAACCAGTTTGGGCCTCACCTGTCAGTGTCAGGGGTTAACAACTATCTCATTTGGATTGCAAGAGATGGACTAATCTCAACACAATGTTGCAGATTTTTTACATTCTGGAGTCGAAAAATTATGTTTAACTGAAGCATAAACTTATTTGATTTCAATAATTTAATTTGCACCCAATGTCCAAAAACTGCAACAAGGTTCTGAAATTTGATTTACCATCAGCAGGCAACTGGTGATCTGGGATGACCACCTATTTGTAGTCTATTTACTTGCACCCTTATGGTATTTATTATATTACCACAATAATTACTGGTTTAGGCCCTTTGATATCTGAATGGTCATATGATATTCTAGTATTAATCCCTAATTATGTGTTCAGAAAGGAAAATATCAGACCATCTGGCTGTAAAGAGTTTAGTGGTTCAAAAATTTATAATCAGGTTTTGGGTCGCTTTTGACGAATCTATTATCAGAATTACAGTATTTTTGAAAAACTGGAAGAGTCAAAATAGATAAACCCCTGAAACAAGTGTATTTTTTTTCAAAAAACGTTGCATTTCATCAACATTGTATTGAAACAAGACCACCTCTTGCGAACTAAATAAGTTGATGGACACCATTCATGTAACATCTCGGTATCATGTCAAAATTTCGTTGAATATAATGTCGCTCCAAGGTTATTCAAGAAAAATCTAGTTTGCATGAGAATCTTTGGAGCTTGTATCTCCATAGTGACATTGTTTTGGTTATGTTCTATATGCATTTACAGGTTGATACCTTATTTTGAAATACTAAATATTATTTTGGCCAGAGTTTGGAAGGTTGAATTTTGATGCCTTATTATTTTTCAGTACTTAACTAGACAATTTTGCCAGGAAGTTGATCATTCCCAATCCTATTTATTGTTGAATTTCATATGTTGCACCATCAATACAAATGACATGTCAAGCAGCAAGCAAGTGTTGGTCGTTTTTTTTTCCTAGGAACCTTCATCTCAACAATCGATTCTCTCTATATTTTTCCAAGCAGCTGGTGTACATCCACATTTTTGTTCCAGCCGTGAAATGTCCGAGCTCACCGAAGACCCAGATCTCGAAACTATCCCCCCAGCGTTGCCTGAAAACGCCCCACTGTTGCCAGCTCATACAAAACAGGCTGCCAAGGCAATCGGCATTCTGCTGTTTTTCAGTTTTCTGATGTTCACGCTGCCGTTCGCGTCTTTCTTCGCCACCAAATACCTGTTGCAAGACTATTTCCACGTGACTGGATTCCACAACACCGTATGGTCAGTGATCGCGTCGGTTGTCACTGTCAATATCATCATAGTGGCCTACGCGTACTTGGCTTACTTAGAACCGGATCTCGACGAACAGGGTAACGTCGTTCAAGATAGTGAGGAGCGACCAAAGAAAGAATGATCAGTATTTTTTAGTCATAGACTTCATTCGGGTTTTTCCAGGGAACTATTCCAGAACCTATTGCGCAGAATCAGAACAGTTATGGAATAGTTTCTTATAGAACCCGGATAACGATATCGTGTGCGATAGACATTCCTTGTATTTGTACGAATCTGTATTTATACCTCGTTTTTTGATATGTGTACATAATTTTTGGTTATGTAAAATAGAGTTTATTGAGTGTTGTAAATGAATACTCGTACCTCACATGTGACTGTATACTAATTAAAGACATTTAATAAGTATCTCATTGGTTTATTTCACATTAACTCCCTATTTTGACAGTATCAGCTAACTAAAAAACAGCAGATGGCCCATGTTTTGTTCGGGATATACAGGATGGCCCGTAATTAATGCGCCAAAAAGCAATATCAGGCTAAGCTCGTGAAAATAACATTTAGTCAAATATGCCTTAGTAAAACGTCGTTCATTAATAAAGCTTGATTACAGAAATCTTTATGTTATTTCTTTCAGCTGAAGCTGATATTGACGTAAAAATTTGGAACCGAGGGTTTGAGCTTTGTTTGGTTTTTGGCGCATAGCAGACCATGGTGTATCAATGTCAGATCTACTTATTTGGCTATATGCCCTCAATGCTAATGATTAGAAAATGAATGGGTAATATAGCTTAATTTCACATGCCGACAAAATAAAAAAGTGATGTGTGCTTAGGGTGCCACAATGTTTTTCCCATGATCTTTTTCGCGCTGAAACGATGCTGAAGACGAATAGAAAGTAAAAATTGGGGATCAGTGGACAAATAAGGAAGTAATTCAGGCATTAAGATCACATATTTTGGCATTTTGAGCGGATCAGCATGTCGTCAGAAGTCTTTGAGAGATGCACATCCTCCAAAAAGACCAGAATTGTTAATGCCTTAGGGTCGTATGGTCACTCGTTCCTACAATTGTAGAACGTCTTTATGGCCTCCTTGATTCTCATAGTCTTTTCTCTCCCTTCAGGGTAGGGGTGTTTCTAGATTTGTACTGTTTCGTGTCATCGTCAGCGCTCTGCTATTGTAAGGCTACGTTTTCTTTTTTAACTGTAGGAAATTTTAGGCTGATATAACAGACGATATATATTAGAAGCATGAATAATTTTATACAAATAGATATTTGTAACATAACATGAATAATTTGATACAAATAGATATTTGTAACATAACCTTCAAAATAAAGTGCAGACACTGAACAGCAGAAAACTATGAAAATCAAAGGGGGCATGAAGGCGTCCTACAATAATTGTACGAACGACTGACGATACGACCTTAAGTTACATTTATGTTTGTCCATCTTCCCCCAGTTTTGACTTCAGATTCGTGATCAGAGTGAAGAAATGCAGGGAAAAAGAGTGAGGCTACCAGCACACAAAAGTTTTTATTTTTTGTGGACCAGCATATAACTTATAAATTGTTCAGTGTTATATACACATATTTAAAGCCTTTAGTATGCAATTAATTAAAATCGTTTTTGGTCTAAACTGAATTTTTTATCATTGTCGAAACTTTAAAGCCTAATTGCTAATTTTAGGGTTGGTTCCTTTCTGCAAAAAGCGGTCCAATTTGGATATTAGATTCGTGTTCTGCTTGAAAAAAATACATAGAAAAAAACATAGTCGGACCCCAACCACACAACACTTTTATTTTGTTGGCCTGTGATTTTAACACTAGACACTTGATTCAAAATGTTCAGCGCGGTAAAACTTTGAACATGATCTTAGGTAATGCTGGAAGTGTCTTATGTGCATGGCAGTTTTGAAGGCAACGCTGTATTATATCTAAAAATTTCAATCTAGGTGTTAGAAAATCGCATTTTATAAACAAAATCATTGTTGTTAGAGGAAACCGTTTCTACCAAACCAAAATACGTGAGAGTGAATACATTGAAAAAAACAGTTGGGGAAGCAATAGATGCGTTCAGAGATGAAGAATGGATACTTATTAAACATTCCGATAAAAACGACTACAATGGGTTCGTAGAAAAAGTAGCAGCATTAAAAGATGGAGAGTTCATGGTTGACATGCACGTACCCAGTCTGTTGATATTTCCATCAAAAACGCACTTTTATAACCATCAAGCTTACAAGAATGCTACAATCGTCTTACAAGATAAGGTAGGTTTATTACACTTGAAGAAGTATATTTTTGCAGCGATTCTGGCGACTCATTTTTTTCAATACAACTTACTTCTTTTAACTTTTCGTTTAAAATCACTTTTCACAGTATTTTCGCTCTCGCTGTACATATTGTAGATCATGAACGGATTAGATCCAATCATTAAATCCAAAACCAATTTATCCTCCATTTTGCCTGGGAATTCATTTTTTCCGCTCGTAGTGCGATCAACGGCCACTCGGAGGCCCCGCTACAAAATTCAAATAATAATAATGATCTTTATTGATCATAAAAAAATACACAAGTATTCATAGACATGTCAGTAATGAAAAAAAGGTACAGCATCGTAGGCATAAAAGTATAATTATAATAAACTCAATATACAAAAAGACACTAATATGATTTTACAAAGTCGAGTAAAGTCTCAGACTAAAGATATAAATAGACATACCATTCTTACGGCACTGTAATGCATGAAGACAAACAAACCCAATTCAGAACAAATACAAACAATAAGCTGTGTATGTGCAGACCACAGCTGATTCCACCAGTGGCGTAGGTGCTTTTTTTGTAATGGTGTTCTGGTTAATACACCCAGTATCACCTTCCATGGCAGTGAAAAGAATAAACACAGAGAAGTAAACAAGGTTTTATTATTGGAACTTAATTATCAGGTTTATTGTTTCAACAACAGAGAGAGAGTATTATGTAAATAATAAGAATTGAGTAGAAAATTTCCTGTCCAGAGTATGAATACAAAAAAAATAGTAAGAAAATGATAGTAACCATGATCAAAAGTTGTATATAAAAAAATATATAAACAAACAGAAAAAGAATAAATAATTGACGCATCAATTCAAATATTCTGTCTTGATATTGAAGGCACAAAAAAACTATTCATTTCTTAAGAAAGATCTTAACTTAAATAGTTCCCTAAACTATTTAAAAAGTTTGTATCATAAATTCAACTCATTCGTTTTATTTAGGCAAGCAAAGACACAGATTTGGTTCAAACGATCTGACAGAATATGCTCAATGTCCTAAGGATTCGGTCTTTCGAGGATTACATATTGTACAATATAGTCTGTATGAAATATTGTTTAGGAAGATTTTGAGTCTACATTTATTGTGGAGCTTAAGTTGGATTATAGGGCAATTTCCTGGGCAAGATTGATTTCATTCTCCTCATCACTGGAATCACTTTAAAATAGATAAGTAAAAGTATAGCAACAAAATATTCCATTTCATCCAATAGCTAAATATAATTAAGGACTTACTCTGTTTGCCTCAAAGGCTCTACTGATGGAACTGCTGAATGCTTTAGTTGAGTTCTTTTGCCTTCTATTAAATCACTTTTGTGAAAATGATTTGCGCAAATAAAGGCATGAAGTGGTAAATCATTTATGTCAATATTGAGGATAATGCACCATTCTTCTTGTTTTTTCTTATCACTAGGAAACCTGAAAGATCAAAAACGTGTCTAACAGAAGAGTATTTTTTGAAAATCACCACACATACAGTGTAAAAACAACCAATAACTATAAAATGTCTATTTCTTAATACTAAAAATCACAACGCATCCCCATGCGCTACGCCCTTGTCCTCCTCTAACCTCTAACTCACCTGTGGAAGGTTGCCTCAGTTTTTTCACTGCTAACTCCACAAAGAATGCACTTCCGACGTCCCGTTGTCTTTGAAAATTGTCTATCAATGATAACAATGCTATAATTGCCGCTAAAACAACCTGAAAACACTTTTGAATACTCGCAACAAATTCACTGTGCACAACAACAAACATCAGATGTTTGTAAATCTGTGTACGCATCCACCACTTGCCGTTGAACACCGTTTCCACGTTCGGCAAAAAGTCGGTAGAAATGTGCTACTTCCAAATGAGAGAAGTTTCGTCCAAGATGGAACAAGTCCAGTCAAACAACTGACTGGGCAAAATATTATATGTAATGTTCGCTGTGAATTACCCAACATGAACCTGCATCCGTTTTGAATTGAATTTACGGCGTGTCAGCCACCTGTGTGACCGTTTTTGCGAGTATAAACAAATATGAAAAGAAAAAATAAATTTTTAAAACTTAAAATGACGTTGACAACTGCCTAGGAGCAGTTGTTTGATCGACCGGAGCGTCCACACCTTATTTAAGTCCACCTTCGGCGGAGTGCACACCAATATCTCATTCCATTTTCAATAGATTTTTCAGTATGGAGAAGTGGCAGCGTCGCATATATTTGTTTACCGTAAATACAGTTATGTTGACGACGATATTTTGTAGGGAATTATTTGTCTATTTATATTTTTAGTCTGAGAGTAAAGTTTCAAGAACATTAAATTATGCATTCAACTTAGTAAAGTCTTTCGACAGAGTTGATCACAGGATGCTATTGCATAAGCTGAAATCTCATGGATTATCCGATCCTTTAATACAACTATTTAAGTCCTACCTCACTGGAATAAATCAATTTGTGATGTTTAATGGCATCAGATCGTCGGAGCATGTAGCCAATTCCGGAGTGCCACAAGGCAGTAATCTAGGGCCTTTATTGTTCGTCATATTTGTGAATGACATAGTTAATGCTGTTGGCCAGAATTGTTTACGCTGATGATCTGAAGATGTTTTGTCGTGTAGTTGATGAATCAGGCTGTGATTAGAAAATCTGGTCAGGTTGGATGCTTGGTGCTCACAAAACAATCTGTCATTAAACATCAATAAATGTTACGTAATATCTTACACTTTGAAGAAAAATCCTCTGTTATTTGACTATACCCTGTCAGGCAGCTCTATTCAGAGGACTTCAACTTTATGTGACTTAGCCGTGACATTTGACTCCCAACTAACGTTCGTCAAACACATTGACAGCAACATTTCCGAGGCAAACCGCATGTACGGCATTATTGTAAGAAACTGCCGTGACTTCACTCAGAGTACCACCTTGAAGTTGCAGTATTATGCATATGTTAGGTCGAAGCTTGAGTATGCATTGCTAATTTAGAATCCGCATCATATTATTCATATAAGTAGGCTTGAATGTGTTCAAAGACGTTTCTTAAAATATTTGTCACTGAAAGTGGTTGGCGTTTACCCGCCCATAGGTATATCTCATGATTCCTTACTTGAAAAACATCTTAAATTGATCAATAATGCTAGTGATGATTTAGCTTTCTTGGGTCAGTTATCATTTAACGTACCTAGGCTGACATCACGACAAAACGTTACGTTTTATCTACCTGCGGCACGGACAAATTATTTACACTAGTCCCCTTTACATGTGATGTGTAGGAATTACAATTCTGCAAGTAACAGGATTGATATATTTAGCTGCAGAATTGCAGACATAAAAAATACTATTAAGTAACCAGCATGTATCTTTTACACTTTGTAGTCTATTACTTATTATTATCTTTTATATCTGTGTTATGTTCTGTGTTTCCTCACCCTGTAATTGGTATTTACTGTAGGGTGTTGTAATGAATGAAATAAATAAAATAATATTTCTCAAAACTGTAAATACAGGCCCTAGTTAATAGCGCGGATAAGTATTGCTTACACGAAGGCTAGAGATATGAGGTTAAACTGCATAAGGGATACACGTATTCGTATGAAGCCTATCCTGTCGCCAAGGATGGTGTAGCCCTAAAAAATCTAAAAGCCTATCACAGTCGTAGAGCGTCTGCGCATTGAATAATGTCAAAAATTGCAACAAAGCTGCAGTCATTATGTGGATTTTAGTCACGTCTTGCCATGCTTTGTAGGTTTATAATTTCGTGGTTATTATTATTATCTAATATTTTTGCTTGCAACTTATCCGAACTGTCAAAATTGGAGTTGTTTACATTCATAATGGCAGCAACAGTCAAAACTTTTCTATGGTATTTCTCACAAGAATCCATTACGTCATGACATCTACTGAGGTGAAGAGCTGATTACGGAAGCGACATCTTTGTATTAGTCTGTAACGTTGGCAATAACGAATTTGAGGACCGAATTCAGAGCTGTTGTTCACATATCTGGATTACATTTTTAAATGACTAAAATGTGACAATAAAAGGTATGAAGTACAGATATAAAAATTATTATAGTGTGGGACATCTGGGATTTATTGGTTACGATGTACGTAAATGGTACAAGCTACGTTGTCCTTTCCAGAAGCTGTATTTTTACCTGTAAAAATAATATAGTCACGTTTTTATGGTTTATTGTCCGTCATCAGCGTAAATTCAGGTTAAGTATGTGCAGAACCTATAATAAAAATTAATAATATAGTTATACATTTTACTTACATTTTTCTAACTTGTTAGAATTACCTGAGTAATGTTCAGGCCTAATTCAGGGAATCTATCAATTCGATCATATACTGCCACACATTCTGAATTAATTGTATGGCTGTTTCATTGACCCTTAAAATCATATGGTGTTTCAAGTTCTAAATGGTAGAAATGATTGACATAGTCAAAAACTGTTTATCTTATTTTATTCCTACCTGACTTGAAATGCAGTCGTAACCATTAGTGGCCATTTTGCTTGTAGCGGTTTTTTTATATGCAAAGGAACTTTTCTAAATAAAAAAGTTGTTAGCAAGTAGAAAATGAATCTGTATTTTACAAAAAACACAACAAAATACGGATCTGTCTACCTTGCGTTGATGGATCTCTCAGCGTCAATTATTATGTGTCACTTCTCGATATGGGGAGTTTTGAAATATCACGAGATAATCAGCTGTTGTCCGTGAAAAATACCATACGCAGTATATACACGAGATAAATGCCATATGCGGAGAATCTGAAATCCATTTCCTGCGCTGTGTATTAACTTGCACATCGTCGACATTTTTGGCTTCACCTCCACTCTATTAGTTTAACCTAATATCTCCAATCTTCATGTTGCTATAATAATAATGCACATCCGTGAATAAAAACATCACTGACCTTTCCAGCCTTTTTTTCAGTATTTTGCATGGACTATGAACTAACTGTATAGGTGTTTTTCTCAGAGAGGTAAACTTCCGCCAAATATAATTCTTCATCAACTGAAGGCATCGTTAAATGGGAAGTCAACCTTTCTTAACTCCATTTTTTTTTATTCTCCTTTAGGCCAGTTGCTTGCCAGTGCATCTACTGGCCCCCTGTCCCGGTTCGACCGTACTGGACATGTGTGCCGCCCCTGGAATGAAAACCACCCAATTAGCGGCGGCATTGGAAAATCAGGGCGTGATTTACGCCGTAGAAAGAGACGCCAAGAGGGCGGGGATCCTGAAGGGGATTGTTGGCGGTAGTGGCGCGACTTGCGTCAAGGTCATCAACAAGGATGTGTTGCAGTGTAATGGCAAAGAGTTTCCAGGGGTGGAGTATATTTTGGTGGATCCTAGCTGTTCCGGTTCAGGTAAGGAAAGGAGATTATTGGAAAAAATCGAAAACTCTTCGTAGATACACCACAAACCACAGATTTAATAACACACTTCAAAATTCTCAGACTTTCCACGAAACGTAAGTGGATTTGCCCTAGACCCTATACTTCTGGGGGCGATGAGGCACCGTGTTATAGTCATTCTAGATGAACTCACATACGATTCTAGCACATTTTTTGTTTCCAATAGTATCGAGAATCTGAAACAGTGTGCCAGAAAAGGTTTTCCCTAGTTCTGCTAACTTACTTTGAAACTCGTATCAATAAGGTCGCTGTAACTCTCTTTTGTTGTAGCTTTGCGATTCAGGAATTTAGGCTTTGCCGTTACTGGAGTATATTAAATCTGCTTTGTTTTTTGCAGGTATGAGCGAGAGAGCAACTTCATTTGAAAGTAAAGACTTATCTAGGCTTCAAAAACTAGCTGGTTTCCAAATTATAATCCTACGCAGTGCTTTGACTCGATATCCAGATGCTAAACGCGTTGTCTACTCAACCTGTTCACTGCATCCTGAAGAAAACGAAGAAGTCGTACGGCAAGTGCTCGAAACCAACTCTCACTTTAAACTTGTTGATGCCAAGAAACTATTGAATGCTGACTGGAAGTCATTTGGTAAGTAATCTGCATCTGAAAAAGTCTATCATGAAGTATCTTATAAGCCAAATGATGTAGTAATATATTAAGGTAGCCATTTCGGCTCTATCAAAGTATGCTACGACCTTGTCTGAGAAAAGAAGTGCGTTTTATGAAATACCATTTGATTTTCCATAAATTTTGTCACTTAAGAAATTTTTTCAGATCACTCATTTTGGAGATATTTTGGTTTGAATATTTGAGGAAAAATCCTAAGACATTCTTATGAACAGGGAAAGCTACTAAACCGTTTCATAAGAATATTGTACCTCAAATATTCAAACATTCTACAAAACAAATTCCTTAAGAAGCAAAACATATGAAAAATTAAATGGTATTTTATAAAATGCATTTCTTTTCTCCAAAAAGGCCAGTGGCGTAGAAAATATTTCCTATCAGGGGTCCAGGTGCAACCCAGTTTCTACGTCCCTGGTTTAGTTTGAGCCGAAAAACTGTGTTTATTGCTGATATGTGTTAAATGACTGTCTAAAATCCTAACTGGGTATCTTTACCCACTCCGATGGTATATATTTTTTTTAGATTTCGTAAATAAATGTATCTCTGTAGGGAAGCATACTTGTTTTAATGTTCTTTTCCCTATTAAAGTATCCAACCATACCTCTTCCATTATTTTATTTAATTTGAATTCTTGCAGGTAGCCCAGATTACGGAGAACTCGGTGAATTTTGCTTATATGCCAGACCAGACGAAGACTTGACAAACGGATTTTTTCTGGCTGTGTTTGAAAGATTGGGGGAAGGAGAGCAGAACACCTTTTTCAATAACAAAATCTTCGGTTTCAAGAACGAATTAAATGCAAAGGACAGGAGGAAAGAGCGTAAGTTAGAAGCTCAACAGAATGCAGAACAACCTGAAATGAAGAAAGGGAAGAAAAACAGAAGGAAAATGAATGCGGTAGGGGATGATTCAAATAATGCTGAAGAAATGGTGAATGGTCAGACTGCAGCAGTTAAAAAAGTACAAAATAATGTTGGAGCAACTGTGGTCAATGATGACGCAGATATACATAAAGAGCATAAAAATAAAAAGAAGAAAAAGAGAGTGAAGGATGACGTTGTGGAATCTCAAGAAAATGCTATCAACGACACTGTGACAGAAAATGTTTCCGAAATTTCCGACAAAAGTAGTGGATCAAGAAAAAAGAAGAAACATTCTAGTGAAGCAAGTGAATCAACAGATGACCTTTCGAAAAGTGATCAGACTTTAGTAATGAATGACAACGCAGAAAGTCCAAAGAGAAAAAAGAAGAAGAAAATGAGAGAAAATGTTAATGAATCTCAATATATTGCATCAGAAAGTAATGTTGAGGCAGTTGATAAAAAAGATAAGAAAGTTAAGAAAAGGGAAAATGAGATCCTAAAGAATCAAGATATTTTTGTTGAAGACGAGCCAAGAAAAAAGAAAAAGAAACATTGTAGTAAAGGAGGTGAATCAAAAGATTTCTCGAAAAGTGATGCTAACAATGAAATTAGTATTGAAGAAGACAAGCCTAAAAAGAAAAAACGCAAACATATCAGCGAGTCAGAAGAATTAATCGACAACCTGGCAAATATGACTGTAAACACCAATGGAATTGAAGAATGTGAATCCAGAAAAAAGAAACGGAAACATCGTAGTAAAGACAGCGAACTGGCAGAGGTCTCAAACAATGGAGACACCCCAGAAACCATTGACAATAGTGTTGAACAGCATAAGTCAAAAAAGAAGAAACGTAAAAATGACAGCGAGGTGAATGAATTATCAGAGGATTTTCGTAATATTGACGTTAGCTATCCCAATTCAAAGAAAAAGAAAAAGAAAAACAAAGACCTAGAGTGTATGTGAAGAAAATTGAGATGGATGTTTACGTGTTGTCGTATATTATATCATAGTTTATAATAAATATGTACAGTGAAACAGTATATTTTTTTTATATCGAAGCAGCCGCGCAGGCAGAAGCCTAAATGCCGGAACACCGCGGCTGCTATGATGATCCCAAAGATATGATTTTTGAACTGCCTAAGGTTAGTAGAACTGGGAAAAGCTTCCTCTTGTAGATTTTGTAGATTGTTCCACAATCTCAACACCCTCGGGACAAAGGGGCAGTTGTATCGGCCAGTTCTGGATGCACGAAGTTCAACACGGTTAGGATGGGACGTCAAAGTCAGGCGGTTCTGACTGGTAAGCACATCGCGCGGCGGCATCATGGAAGACAGCTCTGAGGAGCAAAGCCCGTTGGTGTATCGGTAGAAAAGAGCTAGATCGCCGTCGGTGAGGAGTCTGTTAGAGAAGAGTCACCGATCAGTCGGACCGCCCTTCTCTGGATAGCATCGAGCATAAATATTGTAGTCGGGGCAGCAGCACCCCAAACGTGTGAGCGATACTCGAGGCTAGGCCTTATACGGGCCTTGTATAGAGAGAAAAGGTCATGCGGAGAAAAGTACTTCTTAGCCGTAAACAAATAGCCTAGCTTTTTCCCAATAGCTGCCGCTGTTGACGAGATGTGTTCGTGCCGTATTCTGCGGGACAGAGGTTTTTTTGTCTGACAACTAAGAAAATTGTCTGTAAAATCGCGAGGCATAAACATATGATTTATGAAATACCCCTGTATATATTTTCGGTAAAATAAAAGCACCACAATCAACTTCTATCGTTGCCGTACATGTTAAAGATTTCTATTTGGTCAACTTCGTAGAGTAGCGAAACGTGTATCATTTCGTGACAGAATATTAATTTTACCACGAAACCACGTAACGTTGCTAGAATATACGGAACTGAAAAGGAGTTTATACCCTGATGGCTATGAGGGTACATTTTACGTAGGTACCATATTGCAAGATCACGGTATGACGCACGTATATTTTGTTAGTCAAGAACTTCTCCTATAAAGAATTAACCTTTTGCGGTCTACTGGTCTTCTCGGATGACCACCAATTCATAGTCAATTTACTTGTCTCCTGATGGTTTTCTGATGTTACCACGATTATACCTGGTTGATTTAGATATTTTATCGGCGATGAAACGATGGTCGACAAAATAGCTCAACTGGTAGAAACACCGGCATGGGTATCATGTATATGGAAAGTGACATTATGCTGTTTTTTTCTGACATTATGTAGGTTTTTCTATAATATATTAACTTAACACTTAGTTGTACGTGTTGCCTAAACGTTATGAGGCTTGTGTTATCAATCTTTGGCTCCGATGTGGTGTAAAATCTGCTTTTGAGATGGCATTACTGGAGGTCTAAGCTGAAAGTTGTGTGTGTTGATGATAATTACATTGGATTCTTGAATCAAATACACTTAATTGAGATTCAAAGCTAGAAATTAGTTGCGCATCCACATTTTCTTATCCATTCTGGAAATTACATATTATACAAATTTGTTGAATTTCAAAAATGAGAGAGATACGAAATATTTATATTCACTGTACACTGTCGATTTACAAGCCATATATATGCTAACAGTAATTACACACAACGCGGGCGCGGTGATGATTTCCCGTAATTCTCCTATTTTTCGTAATTTATATGACTTTGAACATAACCTCTCTTCAGAAAGCACAACATATAAGTAACCCGTCGAGCACAACTACAGTATATTCAGATAAGAGATAGACCGGATGTAAACAAAAGGTTCGGGTGATTTTCACGCTAACGCCGCCGTCTCGACGTAAAACAAGAGCCCTCATTGGTCAATTCGCAATTAAATGCCTATGCCGAGCGGCAGAGCAGTCGTATCAAGGCAGAGTCACATTCAGGTTCAGACGTGTTACGTATGTCGTGTGCATCATGGCAATTTGATATTTTATTTGGACGTTTTCGTTTGTTATCTTATTAAGTTGTTGAGTTTGTCGTTGTTATTGTTATACCTTGTTATTGATTGTTATTGTTATCAACTGCTTGCGCAAAATGCCCAGTAGTACAGATACTGCCGATGAAGTTGTAAACTCCTGTAGTCCACCTAGGAAACGCTCTAAAAAAAGACACCTGAGTGCAGAAATGAAAGAGGTCATTTTGAGTATATATAAGATCGAGCGCGAGGAGAACGAGGCATCAACCATCAAAGAAATTGTTGTGAAGGTTTCTCACAAAGTTGGGGTGTGTCGCGCATCAGTGTTTAATGTGTTAAGACAATACAAAAAAAATCACACCTTTTCTGAGCCAATGACCAGTAAACATCGCAAAAGTATTGTAAAATCATTGGATGAAGCTGATAAGCATGCGATTAGGAGGAAAGTGCACGAATTCTTCTTTAGGAATGAAATACCTACTATAGATAAAGTACTGCAGGAGGTAAATGGAGATACAACGTTGCCAAATTTCAAACGATCAAGATTCCATGCGTTACTGAGCATTTAAATTTCAAATGGAAAAAACGGGGTCGTAATAGTTTACTACTGGGTAGAGAAGAAATTGTGCTATGGAGGAGGGATTATTTAACAAAAATTGGTAAATATAGAAATCAAAACAGGAAGATTTATTACCTTGATGAAACATGGGTAAACGCAGGACACACTACAAGTAAAGTATGGGTTGATGATTCTGTAACTTCATCCAGGAGGGCCTTTCTAGATGACTGTCCACCGGCATCCAGCAGGTAAATACGAGTAATAGACAACAATCGGATGTTTTTCAAACCTTGGGAACAAGGTTCTAAACATTAATTCCAGGGGGCAGATAAAACATATTACAAGTAACAAAACTTTTTTAAGCCATGTTTTATGTGTTTTCGATATTACAATAATTTTTCAATATAATCTTAAAATATGTCGAATATTATAAAAAAGTTACTAAGTTTTATATTGTGTACCGTTCCTAATATTTCTAATCATTTTAATTCATACTTTAAGCTTTATAAAGTTATAATTTGTTAATATTAATATTTGCGCGTATTTCAGGTTCCTGATCATTCATTTTTTAGAGGTTTATAACTTTAAATTAAATTGTGAAGCGCTGAGTAATCATACGACGTTCAATATTCTTTCTTTCAATATGACTAAATAATGCCAATTATAGCAATCTGATACTCATGTCTCAATGTTTTTTCGCTGACTGTGATGAAAACATTTGAAAAAGGTTCGCTTATTGAAATAAATCTACACCAGTTAGTACTTCGATTTCCAGGTAAAGGGAAAAGGCTCATTATCTGCCATATTGGCAGTGAGGATGGATTTGTTGTTGACGGTCTGTGGTGCTTTGAGTCTAAGAAAACTGGAGATTACCACGAGGAAATGAATGGCGAATCGTTTGAACAGTGGTTTTCAAAAATGTTACCGAACTTAGAGGAAAACGCAGTAATTGTGTTGGATAATGCGCCTTATCATTCTCGAAGAATGGAGAAGGTCCCAACAACGGCTTCAAGGAAAGTTGATGTTCAAAATTGGCTCCGCTCGAAAAATATCAACTTTGAAGAAGCAATGCTGAAAGTACAATTATTAAGAATTGTCAAGGATCACGAGGCGGAATATCAAAAATACGCCATTGACGAAATGGCAGCAAGTCAAAATAAAACTGTACTCCGTTTACCTCCATACCATTGCGAGCTCAATCCCATTGAGCTCATATGGGCAGAGGATAAAAATTATATAGCTAAGCACAATACAACTTTTAAATTTTGTGACATCAAAGGACTTTTCAAAGAAGCACTAGAATTAATAACAGCGCAAAAATGGGAAAACTGTATTAAGCACGTGAAAGACAAAGTTGAAAAGAGAATGTGGGAACTGGACAATATTTTATAGGAACAAGTCGAGCCATTCATTATTGACGTTGGTGCTTCAGGCAGTAGCGATGATGAAAGCTCATCAAGCTCATCTTTCCAATAAAAGATGTCGTTCATCAAATTCGGTAAGTTATAAGTAATTATAAAACTACTGTATTTTTTAATTAATTATTGACATTTTTGAACCCATTTTGGCAAAACCTATTCAAGAATCTACTTCTGACAATGTTCAACCATGCACATTTTTTTACGTTTTGAACGTTTTAATTTGGTTACATATTTACCTAGAAATCAAAAAATATACTAATCAATATTCTAAAAGCAATTTTAAGAGATATACGATTATTTTTAATTTAGGCTAATTTAAACGCCATTTTGAGATTATATTCGACTGTATTTCACCAAACATCAGACGGTATCCGAAGCTGGAAATCGAAGCGAAAATTTTGAAACCCTTATGTATATTTACATCATTATATATTTCTTACCCCACCCCCACATGATCCTATATCCATCACCAATCGTATACACATCGAATTGTGCTAAGTTACTACAAAGTTACGCAAAGCAGCATCTACTATCTAAAATATGTACTGCGTGACTCTTAATACGTCCCTGCCGAATGTTACAGCGTTCGATGATCACGTGGTCTTGTTTATGTCCGGTCTATCTCTTATCTGAATATACTGTAATAGATATACTTCTTTGGCAGCATATTCAGTAATGATTTTCTCATACAGCAAATATCACTGATTTATACACATGCAGACCAATACACAGAATCATCGAGACGCGATCTTGCTATTCAACCAACTTTCTTCTCAGAGGTAAAAACTACAGACAAGGACCATTTGGCCTCACAAAACATATGCAACCAATAATGCGTGTAGTTTAGTCGAGTGATTCCTCCTTAGATGAACGTTCACAACGATCCTAGTTAGCAAACGTGGAATGACTGTTTGCGCCCTAAAAACTACCTAGTTAGCAGGACGATATCTTATAGGTTTTTTTTGACGTTTTATAGGTTTTTTACATGATACCCATGCAGGTATAGTCGCTCGCATCTTATGGAATCGTTCAACTTGTAAACTGTAGCTTTGCATCAGGCACAACAAAGGTTGTGTTGCTGAATTCCATCAAATAATGGAACGGTCTCTCCTTCCAAGCTGACAATGCTACCATACTTCATTTCA